CTTCCATGAAAGAGGCTTTTCTCTGATGCTCATAAGAACAGGAGACCAAAGAGCTGGCTGGGACCATGGAGCACATGGTGGGGCGGTGGCCAGTGTTGATCTCAATAGTAAGAACTTTTGGAAGGTTGAGATGACAAATGTATTTTTTTATGGTAAGATATTACATGAAGCCTGTCTCTTTAACCATTTTTAAGTATATTCTTCAGTGGCATTAAGTACATTCACAATGTTGTATAACCATCATTACTATTTTCCAAACAGTTCCATCATCCATGAGTCATCGTGCCCATTAAACAATAACTCCCTGTTCTTCCCTACCAGAAGCCCCTGGCAACCACCATCTTTCTATCTCTTTGAATTTGACTACTTTATGTACCTCATATAAGTGGAACCATATAGTATTTGTCCTTTTGTGTCTGGCTTATTTCACTTGGGATAAGTTTTCAAGGGTAATTCATGTCGTAGCACATGTAAGAACTTCATTCTAGGCCACGAGCAGTGGCTCACACCTGTAACATCAGCACTTTGGGAGGTCAAGGTGGACGGATCACCCGAGCTCAGGAGTTCGAGACCAGCCTGGACAACACGGTGAAACCCCGTCTCTATTAAAAATACAAAAATTAGCCAGGCATGGTGGTGCATACCTGTAATCCAGCTACTCAAGAGGCTGTGGCAGGAGAATCAATTGAACCCAGGAGGTGGAGGTTGCAGTCAGCCAAGATTACGCCACTGTTCTCCAGCCTGGGCAACAGAGTGAGACTTTGTCTCAAAAAACAAAACAAAACAAAACAAAACAAAAACAACAAAACCAAAACCAAAGAAATTCCTTCAATCTCTGTTATGGTTAAGATTCCATTGCGTGTATATATTTCAGTTTGCTTAGCCATTCACGTGTTGGGCTGATTTCACCATTTACTATAAATAATGCTGCTATGACCACTGGTGTATCTGTCACGTTATTAGACATATACAGTTCATCCTGTAGAATATGGAAGAAAAAAAGGTGGGACACAGGATGATATGTAGTTTTAACTCAAATTTAGGAGTTCAGAATTGAGGCTTGGGGAATGAGTAAGGAATATCACCAAAGGATTTTTGGTTGTGTCATGATGACAGCTTTAAGACTGACAAGTGGGCAGCCTAAAAAGACTGGGGGCAGAAGGTTGCAGGTGGTGGTAGTGGAAGTGGATGAATGGAACTTAGAGACCAGTTAGCAGCTGATCAACAGTCCAGGTGAGAGATGACGAGGGCTTAAAGTAGGATGATAAAGGAAGGTTAGATGTAACGGATCTTTCGCACTGCAAAGGAAGTAAAGGAGTCAAAAACCAACCTCAGGGTTTTAAGCCTGTATTACTTACCCTCTTACCTCTGACATGCCCAGACTGAAGAATTAATGACTTTGAGAAAGATGTTATGAAGTGGTTAAGACTTCCCTTATCCACAAATGGTGTATCTAGTGAAATTTACAATGTGACTTTTTGAAATAAGGAGACTCCAGCTTCCAAGACCACTTTCAAATATACGTAAAGTTTAGAGCTCAACAATAATAGATCTCAACCTGATGTTAACTGAACTGAGGCCAACATCAGCACATGTAAAATAAAGTGTCACCTTTTCTAATTAGAGAGCTGAAAGCAACCCATCATGTCTAATGGCAGATTCTGGGAGTGACCATCATTTGCTGAGGGATGCTTCCCAGTGACTGACTCAATGATAATGGCATAATCATGAGAGCTGCTGAGGGAGCTGAAATAGGAACTGTTTCCATGGGGAGCCACTCCCCCACACTTGCTGGGCTTCAGAGAAAACTCAGGAAAAAACTGATGTTTCAAATTTATCTTAGCAAAGTAACCTGTATCAATGAGTTCATTCATTCATACAAATATTGAGCACCACTCAGGGAGGCACAATGCTTGGATGTGGGCCATCTGTGAGACCCATGGCACGCAGAAGAGATTCATTCAAAGAACTGGGCAGAAAAATAAAAGTTACAATCATGAAATTTGCTACCAAAAATGTTGCTTTGAGAGTGTATAATAGGCAAAGCTCATATGTAAAATCAGGAAGGGAACATTTGAGCTCAGATCTACAACAGAATTTGGGACCCAGTAAAACAGGGCTGAGGATAGTTCCAGCACTTCTCCAGCGCGGGGGAGAGGGAGTGGGATCCCAGAGTAAGCGGACACACTGTTGCCTCTGTGGTTGAGAAGTAGGTGGGGAGCAGCAAGTCCATACAAGGCTTCAGAGGCCAGGTTAGAAGAATTGAGGCCTTTCTTGGCAAATAATTTACAGCTAAGTTCTCAAAAGCAATTGCCACGAAAACAAAAATTGGCAAGTAGGACCTACTTAAACTACAGAGCTTCTGCACAGCAAAATAAACTATCAACAGAGTACACAGGCATCCTACAGAATGGGAGAAAATATTCACAAACTATGCACCTGACAAAGGTCTCATGTCCAGAATCTATAAGGAACTTAAATCCACAAGCAAAAAATAACCCCATTAAAAAGTGGGCAAAAGACATGAACAGACATTTCTAAAAGAAGACACACAAGTGGCCAATAAACATATGAAAAAATGCTCAACATCACTAGTCATCAGAAAAATGCAAATCAAAACCATAATGAGAAACCATCTCACACCAAGCAGAATGGCTATTACTAAAAAGTAAAAAAAAGGCCAGGTGCGCTGGCTCACTCCTGTTATCTCAGCACTCTGGGGGGCCAAGGCAGGCAGATCACCTGAGGTCAGGAGTTCGAGACCAGCCTGGCCAACGTGGTGAAACCCCGTCTCTACAAAAAATACAAAAATTAGCTGGGTGTGGTGGTATGCATCTGTAATCGCAGCTACTCAGGAGGCTGAGGCAGGAGATCTGCTTGAAGCCGGAAGGCAGGGGTTGCGGTGAGCCCAGTTGGCACCACTGCACTCCAGCTTGGGTGACAGAGTGACTCCGTCTCAAAAAAAAAAAAAAAAAAAAGAGATTGGTAGGCTGCAGAGAAAAGGGGACACATATACTGTTGGTGGGAATGTAAATTAGTTCAGTCACTGTGGACAGCGGTATGAAGGTTTCTCAAAGGGCTAAAAATAGAGCTATCATTCAACCCAGCAATCCCATTCATGAGTATATGCCCAAAGGGATATAAAGAATATAAATCATTCTGCCATAAAGACATGCATGCATACGTTCATCACAGCACCATTCGCAATAGCAAAGACATGGAATCAACCCAGGTATCTATCCATGGTGGATCAGATAGAAAATATAATGCACACAACATGGAATACTATACAGCAATAAGAAGTGAAAAAAATCATACCCTGTGCAGCAATATGGATGCAGCTGGAGGCATTATTGTAAATGAGCTAATGCAGAATCAGAAAACCAAATGCTGCATCTGCTCATGCATATGTGGGAGCTAAACACTGGGCACACATGGACACAAAGATATGGGAACAACAGACACGGCGGACTACTAGACAGAGGAGGGAGGCAACGGTTGAAAAACTATCTATTGGGTACTATGCTCATTACTTAGGTGATGGGTTAAATCATACCCAAAGCCTCAGCATCATGCAATATACCCATGTAACCAACTTGCACATCTACCTTCTGAATCTTAAAGTTGAAGAAAAAAAAAAAAAGAATTGAGGCCTTACACTAAGAGCAAAGCCAAAAGCACATTTTAAGCACAAGGGTGACAAGATTACATTTGTATTTTTTGCAAGATTGCAAGCTACAGTGTAAGGGACTGGATGATGTGGGTAAGAATGTGGGAACAGCAGTCAGTGGACTACCGGAATAGTCTATAGTGTTCTGGCTAGACTAAAGAGACAGTGAAGAAATGTAACTGGCAGGCTAGGAAAATGATGGGCAAGGAAGACACTGGTGCCCAAGTCTCCCAGGTTTCTGGCATGTGTGACAGGATGAACAAAACACCCATATGAATGTTTTTATTCACAGCAACTTCTTTTTAAGGTTGGTTCTTAGATTTGACCTCTTGTTATCAAGTTAGATGTCTTTTAGTGTCCCTGAAATGTTGTGGTATTCAGCTCAAGTGGAAAGTGTTCCGTACCAGCAACAGTGGAGTGATGCTGAGATAGGGCACGCCAAAGCCCCTTGGAGCCAGTCTTTCTGCTGCCCCATTCCCATTTGATGAGCAGAGCATGTTCGTGCAAGCATGCATGTGTTAACAGCCACACTCGTGGTGGAGGATCAGATCCGTCTGTCACCCTTCCTCACAGCTAAACAGCTCTGATAAGAAACTATTTGTCAAAACAAATGTCATTTCTGAGAACATAATTTTACATGCACCGGTGGCCTGCCACAATTTTTTTTTTTTAATATGGAACAATCCAATTTTACTTCATGAGTAAATGCCCATTTAAATACACAGCCACCTCTATGGCTACCTAAGGCAGAAACTTCTATACCAGTTAATTTGAAGCAGTAACAAAGATTAAAAAAATAAAAAGCACTTAATGGAAGGAATGTGTAACACTCATTTGTAAGTTAGACGTGATTTCAAATTCACATTCCAGACTCTATGTTGATTTTTTAAAACAGCTAGGGTTGACGCTGACTTAATAGAGTAAGAGATGTGCTGGGAAGAGGTGGATATAATGAAAGAAATGGGTGACAGTGACAGTGATTGTTAAAATGGGTCATGAGATTGTAGGCTGAGCAACCCTATTTTATAGCAGAGTCTTGTTTCTTATTTAAAAAAAAGAAAACCTAAAACTTTCAGGATGAGATTTAATGATGTATTTTTTAAACCTTTCTTAGGCAACCAAATATTTAAGTGTATGTATTTTGTTCCCATCTTCAATCCCTCAAAGGGTACAGACACTGCATACTTATACTGTGTGTGTGGTTTTTTTAATCTTGTTAAAGCAGGATAGCTCTACAGTGTAGATGAATAAGGCCTTTGATGTTATGCAAATATTACCTCTGGACTCAACACATACAATCCTGAAATTATTAAACATAGAAACCTAGAGCTTTCAGTGCATTTGCCGTTTTTATTTTGCTATGCAGAAACATACATTCACCATGGGCTGTGATGCAGGTGACTGTGTAATGGAGAATCTCTCTTTTTGAAGACTATATATAACACTAAATAGTTTTAATTACAGTGAAAATTCTGTACAGTTTAAGGCTTGGCTCTGAACTAGAATGTAAATATGGACCAGATTTGAAAATAAAACACTCTTTTCAAGTAAAAGAAGAAAAATCAATTAAAAAATACACAGAAAAAGAAACTAAGAAAACAAAGCCACAGGAAGCCCAACAGGTTCTCCTGAAGTGAAATTTCATAATATTGTAAACTAACAAAAATACAGGTTTTTCTTCCCAAAATAATGACAATTTACATACTTAGGACTGGTTAGGGAACTCTGAAAAGCTCTCTGGATTGAACACAGACCAAAACAATGAGGAAGAAATCACATTAATATGCTAAAATCAGTACTACCTTATAACAAATTAAATGAGATACACAAAGCAAGATTGTAAGCGTTAAATATTTCCAGAGGGTCAGAGAGTCATTACCGTTTATGGGTGAGAGTAATAAAACCAGATGAAACAAGTATAAGTTGTTTACTGAATAAACTTGGTTATTGGCACATCTAATCTGGGAAAAATCTGACACATCAGATGGACCTAGACAGCTTCTAGTATTTGAGGGTAATCTTCGTTTAACTGTAAACAAAAGGTTTGTTACCTAAGAAATTGCAATTTTGTTCAGACTTTAATAATAATAAACTATGAAAGGCATGAACTGCTTATGTGTTACATGAGATCACGGTTTATATTGTTGGTTATGAACGTGCAGGTATAGCTGAAAACTGAGACATTTTGTGAAAATTAAAAATGCTGCTATTTGTAATTTTATTGTTGCTTCATGCATTATCAGTTTAGTGATGCTGAATCAGATTGCTTTATTATGGGAGGATCTCTCTGCCAGTGTCTTTATTAATGGTCAAGGTCAATTCTTCTGGACTGAAATTTTCCACGGACAGATACAAGTCAGTTGGGTTAGAAGAGGGAAGTCCATATAGGCTCTGGTTTTCCTAATGGTTTGCATGACTGCATTCATGTGCAAGCTAAGTTATTCCTGCAGAAAAGAGATTTGATTAGTTACTCATTTGAAAACAACTGAAAGATTTTCTCAGATCAACGACACAAAAAAAGTATTAGAGGATAGAATGCTCATTTGGACAAGAGGCCATGACATTCCAGTGTTAAGTCACTGCCAATTATACACTTTCTCTCAAGTAATTACGATAATGCCCAAGTGGCTGAAGCTCATGGAAGAATTTTTTTTTTTTGCCATCTTCCAAAATACACTATTCATTTGAGTAAAATGGATGGTTTTTATATTTCTCTTTTAAGAGATGCCACTCAACAATTTATGTTTCTTTTCTTTTTTTTTTTTTTGAGACAGAGTTTCGCTCTTGTTACCCAGGCTGGCGTGCAATGGTGCGATCTCGGCTCACTGCAGCCTCCGCCTCCTGGGTTCAGGCAATTTTCCTGCCTCAGCCTCCTGAGTAGCTGGGATTACAGGCACGCGCCACCATGCCCAGCTAATTTTTTGTATTTTTAGTAGAGACGGGGTTTCACCATGTTGACCAGGGTGGTCTCGATCTCTTGACCTTGTGATCCACCCGCCTCGGCCTCCCAAAGTGCTGGGATTACAGGCGTGAGCCACCGCGCCCGGCCCCAATTTATGTTTCTTAAACCAATGTTAGAGAACTTACTAATATATTAAATCTCCTAAATGTTTTATCACATCACCAAGTTGTGCAAGTCGCTTGACTGCTGCATTCAGCATTCAAAGCCCTCTCAGAAACGCTCACAGCCCCATGAGTTCTTGCATAGCAGGTTAGTATGCATGACAAGTCTGTGCACACATAGATGATACAATCTGCTTACGATGCTGGCCAAACAGCCACTGGAAAGGCATGTGCTTTCTAAAGGACCACAAGATTGCATTTTTTGCCTCCTCCTGAGACAGCGCTATACTAGGGAGAAAAATCATCCCAAAGAATACAGGAAATATAAGACATCCAAAAAGAAAGTGAGTGCTCAGCTTTCAAATTAAAAAAACAAAATCAAAGACCAAAGCATAAACAGGCTGTAATCAAACGTAGTTGAGGAGAAAGCTTACAATGGGATACTGTTGCCATCAGAAGGAGAAAGGGGTATATATTATTTTCCTGGTATTTGGAACACACAAATTGAGCCTCTCGGAGCAACATTGCCTTAGTTCCAATTATGCCACATGGCAAGTAAAATCAAATTTGACATTACGAATTTGGATAATGAAAAGAGTGCAGGGCCTGGAATAAAAGCGAACACCAGGAAGACCACGCAAGCATAGCCTCTGCTCTTCCTTTATCCTCTGACTGGCAGTACATGCAAAAACTCCACAAGAAGGGAAGCTCCAAATGTGAGACAAACCCGTAAACCAATTCTCCATCCTCTTGGTAACCAGCCCAACAAATGCCAGTGAGAGAACAGAGGAAAGGAAGGATCAGGTGAAGGATGAGAGGGAAGTGCCCCATGCCTCATGCCAGCCTAGGCAAGCCTAGAGAATCAGCATCACCTCTTACCTCTGGTCAATCCTCTCCATCTTCTGGTGTGATCTCTGTCTCTTTATGGACCACTACTTTGGTCACTGACATGTCAGGGTGCTGCTCTTTGGCCTCTTTAATTGCCTGAGCCAGCGCCTATCCCCAGGAAATCACAGAAGGGCAAAAACAAAAAGGAGGTGGAACATGCATGATCAGTGGCGAGGTGGAGACTTATGAGCTAGATCTATATCCACAATTTACAAATGAGGTACAGTGATTACAAAAGGAAAACCATATATTGGAAAGTTAATTCAGAATTTTTTTCAGAATACATGCTGGACTAGAGGAATAGCATTGAAACTGTAGGGCCAACAGGTTTTTCTTTGTTTCTCTGCCAGGGTATTTACCGTCTCACACATACTACCTGGTCATGGTCAATGTCTGCATCTCCCGTGATGACTATTCGCTTCTCAATTCTTGTCTCTGAAATGCCCCCTTTCACAGTCTGCAAGACACAAAGAGAAGCTTTATGAATTTACTCACTGGGAGAAATCATCATTCTTCAGCGGAGGAAATGGCAGGAGATGCTGACAGGGCATTAAGTAACATCATTCATTCTTTGAGAACTGAAATTAGAGTTCTATGGCAGTTATTTAACATTTTTAATTCCAGAGGTGAGGATAGAGTGGAGGCCTTTGGTCTGAATTGCCTGTGTTTCGGAACACCTACCGCATGCCAAGTGCTGGAGCAAGCATTAAGTTTAGGATATCAGAATGTATATTCCTAAAAAGGAACTCACACATGAGGACAAGGGCATCGTAAGTCTAGGAGTTGTAAAAACTCTCCTTGCAGCTGTCCTGGCATCCTAACTGGCAAGCCACTTTGTGCTTGGGTGGCCCAACCTGTGAGTTCTGAACAAGCACCTTCCTCCAGCTTGCTCTCAAGGAATCCTCTTCCTGGTTCTCACTCCACTTACTTTGGTGATGTGCGTAGTGGTGGTGGTACTGGTGGTTTCAGATGTGATCGTCTGTGCGCTCATCAGCACGCCCGGCTCCAGATCTGTGCCAGGATCGACCTAAAGCAGCAGAGGAATAGGCCCCTCATCCAGGTGCTCACATTGGCTCTACAGAAGTTGGTTATGCTACCTAAGGCATTATGACAATTTCTTTATCTCCCATTATACAATCATTGTGCTCTTCAGAGTCTGAGAGCTGCTCCCAAGAATAAGAACTAAGTGCAACCAGAGATAACTGTCATTAAAAAAACTAAGATTTTAGAAATGTGAGGGCTGGATGGCTGAGTGAATACTTTTCTTTCTCCGACGCTAGGGAAACAGGTTTCTGAGCCTTTTTCTACACTTCGAGACACATAAAGACTTGGTTAAGTCACCTGCTGCTCCCCGATAAGTAATAAAATGACCATTATTGCCTCACTTTTAATAGAGGTGGTCTGGCTGCTGGATCCTCTAAGTCTCACGAATTAAATATTGTGCAGTTCTATGTAAACATGATAAGCCATAAGAGGGGTGAAATGAGGAGCCAGGGCTCTGGTCCTCACAGAACATCTCACCTGTGATGATTCATATGTGATGGTTTTGGTTTCAGTGTGAACTACTGGCACTTCCTTGGTAGAAATTTCTAGCTTTACTCCTCCTGGTGAAACACTGCCAAAACTGATGGTTTCCGTCTTCACCATTGAGGACTGTGCCAAAGGGAAGTAAGCAGAGTGGCTATTATAGTTTGCACAGACTATTTTCTTCTCTTTCCTCTTTGGTGGTTATAAGCACAGGTTAGCATGCAATTAATGTTTATGTGGGAATAAGCAGGGGAACGAGGCATACAACACGTACATGTCAGTCTCCTGGGATCTCATAACATTTTTATATGAGATTCTCCAGGTAAAGAAAAACATTTTGAAGGCAATAAGAAAAAAAAGTAAGTCTTCTATTTAATAACTTCTTAGAAAGAAGAATTAATAATGAGACATTAACTTCCCAAATACTTCAGGAATCTCAATAAAAGAGAATATAAGAGTACTCTGGCATTTAGGACCTGGTCAAGCATGGTTTTGGTGCTTCTGGAAAAGTGTACTCATCAGAAATAAATTTATCACGTTTTCTAATATCTTGGCCAACTTTGCATTTCTCAACTTTACTGCCAATTATAATAATTTCAGTGAGAGTAGAAACCATTTCCTAGTGCTATATCATTAATAATTAAAAGATATGTTTGTATGTGACCCTAAAGCTGGAAACCAGTATGGAGGCCCCTAATAGGTAGATGGAAGGAAGAGGAAAAACTCACAGAAAATTAAACTTAGCTTCACCATTATGCTGATCTAAATTTCCAGGCATCCTATATCAGTTTTATTTTAGTGATAAAAGCAACATTAACCACTAGTTACCTCAAAATGAGGCTTTTGTTCCAAAGTTTCTGAAACGTGGATGGCTGCACTCTGCTCCTCTTGTGACTCATGGGAAGCAGCAGCTGTCTCTTGCTGCTCCAGCACAGCTTTAGCGACCTCCTCCCCTGGTTCCTCTTTAGCCCCCTCCGTCAAGGCAGAGCCCTCCTTCCCTTTAACACTAGAAGCCCCCGTGAATGTGGGCGGTGCTACGGCATCCGCACCGTCTCCTGCTGTGTAAGAAGCATCCCCACTTGCGTGCATCACACGCCTCTCCTCCACCAGCACAGTCTCCTGCACCACCTTCTCAGTGCTAAGCGGTCGGTGGTGTGAGGCGGGTTCCGTCTCGATTCCACTGGATTCCGTCTTGGTTTCCATTTTCTGCATGGGAAGAGATTGTGGCATCAGTGTGACCTTCCATCAACCAAAGGTCAGAAAGTAACTAAAGCTGCCACTTGCTAGGACGCCTAAAGCCAGCATCAAGAGCTTATAACCAGAAACACTGACAGGAAATATAAATTAGCTTTCATTCCTCCCATTGGAATCTCTGATGCCTGCCCCTGTCCCTGCCCCTGGTGCATGCACTTGAACCTGTGCTGCTGCTTCAGGACATCCGCAAAACAAACAGAAGGCAGGATAAAGTGCAATTGACAAAACAAAACCCAAAGCATTGCAGCACATTCACATCGGTTTGGGCTGCTTTCTTAGACTCAAGTGGTGAGATATAATGCTTTTAGAAATTAAATGCCATTAAAATTTCTCAACATGTTTGCCTTATGAATATCTGAAGTACATTCTTGAGGTGCAACTAAAGGCATATGACAGATATGCCAAGCCAGTATAAAGGATAATTGAGTGACACTTCGAGACACTGAAGGCAAAGCCAGCTGGATGCAACACACACACTCACGCCCCAAAAAGAGTCAGGAAAGCCAAAGGGGTACATTCAGAAACACCAAGGACGAACACAAATGGCCACCTGAACCCAGGTTTGAGAAGTAACCCCTCCTATGAATTCTGTTGGTTTTCGCGCAGACTCTAACAAACTGAAGATTTCAGAGCCATCCATGAGCTTTTCCCCAGAAGACTGCTTAGTCTGAGTGAACAAAGAAAGGCAGAGTCAAGCACAAAAGAGAGACACAAACTTAGGCACATACACATTCACGGCTTGTTAGACAAAATTGTAGGCAGAGGAGACGGGGGAGGAGGAATGAAGGAATCTGATACAGAGTTTGGAAACAGAAAAGAATGGGAAATAAAATAGAAAATTGGGGTGACCAGGAGCTCTTGTTTGGTAAAGCAGAGAGAGTTATTAGGATCAGGATGGCGCCGATTTAAGCAGGTATTTTTCCCCCTTCATTGCAAGCCACAGCAGCACTATCACATCTTGGGAACGGGGAGCTGGAAATTAAATGGAAAGTGTTTAAATGCTGACTCTGCACTACGGTATTGATTTAACCATGAAAAAAATAAAAAAAGCTGGGTTGGCTGCTCTCAACATAAAGCCAAGCAGCAAGAGAAACGAAAAGGTTTGGGGTGGAAGGGGACTGCCTCAAAAACTGTCATGCTGGAATTGCAAACTGTGGCCCCAATGAGCGACACTGGTTACCACTACTCGGGAGGCGGACGACTCAGTAACGTAATGGGCAGTAGCCACGGTAAAGGTCGGTTCCTGGGAATATCTCCATTCGGACAGGCTCTTCCTTCGGGGGCCAAAGGGGCCCACTTTTAAGACCTCACTCTCTGGCACTTGCTCTGTTTTGCTGAAGCGTCTGCCTTCCAGGCCAGGGGGGACGGTCATGTCCTTCCCCAGCTGTGGAGCCTTCTTGAGGTCGTCGTCTTCTGGACTCTGCCGGCGAGACTCGGCCTCCTTGATGGGCGCCAGGGATTCGGACAATTTCCGCTTTGTGGTCTGGACCTCGGGTCCTCTCTTGGATCTCTCATCAGCGAGGGCTTCCAGGACCTCATACTCTGCCAGTCCGGGAGTGGTCTTCACGGACTCTGACACTCCTTTCTCTATTTTCTGAAGGGCTTCCGCAGTGGAGGGCTGTCCCACTTTCTCACCCTCTCTAGCTTTCTCAGTCATAGTAACAATTCTCCCGGAGACAGTGTCATAGGATTTTCCTAGGGTGTATATTTTCTGTTTGCTGTCTTCTTTCAGTTGCATTTCTCGAGCCAAGTCTTCGAAGCTATGCATTTTAATAGTGCCAGATTTTAACATGTCGGGTGCGAGGTCACCGGTTCTACTGCTCACGGTCACCACCTTGTAAGTCACAATCTTTTTCGAATCACCATCAACTACCTCAGTGGGTATTTTGTCTACAATAACCCAATCCTCTGTGCCCTATATTTGAAATATAAAAGCTAAATTAGAAATTCTGATGGTATCTCATTACTAAAATAAGAATCCTTTAAAAAAAATCAGGGCAACTGCTACATGCAGGTCTGTGATGGGACTGTCCAGGGCTTATGTTATTATCTAATAATTTTGGCTGCAATCTCTTCTCCTCTGAAATGATAAACTATAAACTTCAGCTCAGAATACATTCTGTAGGCAGAGTTGTGACTTCCTTAAACTGGAACATACTTTGCAGTAAAGTTTTTGAAGAACAGATTTGCTTTTATGATAAACTTTGGATCATTTTATATTTCAAGATTAAATAACATTATTGAAGTTGTTCTACAAGTTACTTAGCTTTACATGTGTGGCCATAAAAAGTTTTCCTCGTTAAATATAATCTATACTTCATATACTGTTGTTCTCATAAAGAACTTCCCAACATTCTACAAATTTATGTCAATATCATTTTCTTTATTTGTAAACTGTATTTCCTGATACAGGGAATTGAATCCATGATAGCACTTATCATTCAATAAATATTGAGTGTGACTGTGTTCAAGGCATTATACCGAAATATTTCCCACTAATGGGACACTATTAGAGCCCCTTATAAATAGTGATCTGTATATTGTTCGAGTCTTACATTTTTTTTAAAGAAATGGGTTTTCCCTATGTTGCCCAGGTCAGCCTTGAACTGGGTTAAGGCAATCCTCCCATTTCAGCCTCCCCAGGAGCTGAGACTACAGGCACATGCCATTGTGCCCGGCTCCAATCTTATCTACAACTGAAGTTTATTGTCTCAGGAGTTTCTCTCCCACTTTCTTTAGTGTTAGTTCCAACAAAACTAAAGAAATGAAAGCTAAGAAACTTTTGTATTCAGGAAGGCATAATATAATGTGACCAGGTAGGTTAATAGCTTCACAGATTACAGAGGGAAGAGATATCGAACTAGGAGCAGGTGAGTGCCTTGGTTTACATTTTAAACTGGCATGTTTTCTAGAAACATTTGTGTTTATTGCAGCCTGAAAATTTAAATCTAGAAATATGCGTGCCTTAAAAAAATTACTACAGATCCATCTACATGCTGCTGCTAGAGGAGGTGAAATGAATTAAAAGAATAACCTCTAGGGTCGATGGGACAGTTTTCTGGAAAATTATTTGACGAGAAGTAATCACAGAGTCAGCAGAATCTCCTTCCTGCATTTTCTTTATCACACTTGGCTAGTGGGGAAACCAATAAGAATTCAGAACTTTCAAAATCAATCAACATCATCTAAATTAGCACCAGTCTACAGGTAAAAACAGGCAGTAAAACAACATTTCAGCAAGATTATTATTAGAAAGTAAGTCAAAGACAACATACAGAGAAAAATCAGCTTGGATTAGAAGCCATAAAGAAATGATGCATAACTGATAACTAAAATATTAAGAGAATTCCAATTTCCCTTCCCCAGAATCTAAATCAAAATTATGTACCTACTTTGGTTTTAAACAAAATACATTTAAAAGGGAAAATAAAAACTAAAAACATTTTAATGACACTGAAGTCTGAAGAGCAATTCCTTTTGGAAAATCCTTTATGTCTGGTTTTTACCTGAGACTCAAAGAATGGAGAGCTTCCTTGCTGCAAAAATATAATTTTTTCAGAAATCTCTCTTTCTTCTTTGGTCTGTTTGAATAAAGGGGGTTGGGTTGGAGAAGAGGAAGTAGACAGTTTCCAAAAAGGCAAGTTAGGAAGAGAGTTCTTTCATTGTATTATATCTATCTCATATATTCTCATAACATTCTTTCGTTTTTTCCTGAAGGAGTAAATTATTGTTTATGCATTTGAAAAATGATCTGAAACTATCTCAAAATTCAGTTTTTTCCAAAGAGTTCAGATTTTCTGAAACTTTGGGGTTTATACAACTTAAATGTGCTTCATTTCTACAAACACAGAACATGCAAGAGCAATATACAGGCATTTGTTCTTGGCATCTAAACAGTGTTTATGTTTGCTTTAAAAAGTGGGTGTTTAAAATAAAACATTAAGAAATTTTTAAAACTTTAAGTTAGGAATAAAGCCTGACTTCTATTTCTGACAAGTATTTTATTGTATTCCCCATTTAGGTGCTGCTTGTTACTGAGTAATGAAATGTACACAATGTCACTGCATTAGTCACTAATTTAAATAAGCCCAGTTATACTTAGATGGATTGATTTATTATCCCACAAATAAACAAAAAAATACTCAAGGGTATAGCTTTATTTGAACTTCTGTAACATGGTTAATAATTTTTAAAAGTCAATTTCAAAATATCTTGGTGGAAAATTAAGTATATCAATTCATTCTTTAAGATAAAAAAAATAAGAAATAATATTTCATGTTAGGAACTAGGTTTTTACTTTTTAACTATTTTTTTTTCTTTAGTATTAAATAGGCACAATTTAGGTGGCAATACATGAGCTATCAAGCCTATGTGCATGGTGTTCAACTCCACAGAGCAGGGATAGAAAGATTAACTTAAAAAATAACGATGGCAAGTTCAAAGTTTCTAGAAGAATGGAACTTTTAAAATATGTTTTATCACTACAAACAATGTAATTTTATGAGAGCTATTTAAAATTTATTTTTGTCTAAAAATCTACCAGCACTACATTTAATCATTTGTTTGCATGACGTTGTAGGGGAACATCTGGAATATTCTGTAGGACCTACTGACAGATTTTGATAGTATCATTCTCAAATGACTCTTTCTAATGAGAAACAAGTAAGCCATTTTCAGAGGGCATTTTGGAGGATGGTATTAGAAAAGATAAAATGTACTATGTGTAATGATTTTTGTTTCTTTTTTCTTTCTTTTTTTTTTTTTTTTTTGCTTATAATCATAGCCTCCTTTACAAACAGAAATGAGAAACAGAAAGGAAAGGTCAAAATTATAGGCACTTTTCAGAATAACACTGCTAGGTCTCTAATTACAATCACTGAACTAAATATTATTCCTAAGATAAAAGCTTCACAAAAACCCAGCAAAGCTGGTACTCAGCATATCCTGTTGTCTGAAACCAACTAATTTAAAAATTGCCTATGTCTTCTAACTGAAAATATTAAGTGTCTACATTCTAAACTGTGTATGTCCAATAACATAAACAGGTAACATAGGGAGTAGGTTTTAGAATTTAATTCTATATATGGTCAACCTCCCAATATAGTCAGTCTAGTTAATAGAGAAGTGAAGAGGCACCGAGAAAGAAACTCACTTTTATTAGGGGTTAGGATACAGTCAGGTATATAGCCCAACCATTTCATTTAGTTACTTCAACATTATAAGTAATTAATCTCAATATCATAATTGGAAAACAAGGCCCTATACTGGCACACAAAATTCATAACAGTGTTATTTACTGTTGGGTGATTAAAGATTTCTACAAATAAATTTTAGGGAATCAAATTTGCAAATGAATGTTTGGGAATTATGGAAACGGACTAATCGTCTAGCTCAAGGAATTACTGTACAGTGAACATGCCTGTAACACTACCACTCACATGAAAGAGAGAACAATATTGGCGCAGCATACATACTAGTAGGTACTATTTTTAAATTATGATTTGGAAAATTTTGGTATTCAAGTAACCACTAAGGATATATTTCTAACATGGACAAGGCTTAGATGCATCACGAAAGGCTGTCATGGGAAAGGTTTATGGACAGAAGATGTACTTGGGCACGCTGCACAAACCACATGCCTACCCTCCCTATGTTTGGTGGGCCCTGGGTGTGGGTGTATTTGCCTATTTTCTAAAGTAAATGAGAATTAGATATTGTTTGCTGCTTTGGGGCATCTTGCTACTTGTCTGCTATTAACTCAAATATCTGAAACTTGAAACAATTAGCAATCAAATTTCCATTTTATGCAGGAAACAAATATAAAATTCTCAGAACATAATCATCATTATTAGCTCACTGAATATAATTCTAACTATAATTTTCTTCTAATTGTTCATAAACTGGTAGCATTTTATAGAAATAATTATTGTAACAATTCAACTACTATAGATACAACAAAATAAAGAAAAAAGATGGTCACATTAAAACTCAAAAGCTCTTCAGGTTTTTTCTTCAGTGTACCATTTTGTCACTGAGACAAACAAAAACACAACCAACTAAGCTTGTTTGGGGACACCAAATTGAAGTTTCTTCCCGATTGTGACACAAATAACCATTACTTTATTAGAATTGTCAATTTTAAAAATTAAGTTAAATATTTCCATTTACAAGTAACTGGATATCTTTCTAAACCAGTCTACCGTTTAGAGTGGATTTTATGACAAAATAGAGTGATATCAAACTAGTAGAAGCTACTTTAAAAAATATCCCCTCTAAAATAAAAATATTTTGGTTATATATTTAAAAACCAGTATGTGTTTTATGTACATAACATACAAAGGATTATAAAAAGGATAAAATTATCTTTTGTGCTTTTCACATACAAAAGTAACAGAAGCCATGGTTTTAACACAGAAATTGGCAATAATTTAGAGCACAAGAGCTTTCTGGTTTGTTCTGAAGGCTATCTACAGGGCCCTCAGTTGGAGTATAAACTTAATGTCCTCGATGACTACGAGGTCCTGGAGAAGAGTAGAAGCGGGAAGAGGCCACTCTGCCTGGCCCTGCTGCCATAGCACGCTGACTGCCTAAAGAGAGCTCTTCTCCTCTGGGACTTGAAGCTCCTTCAAGATGCTTTTCAGGGCTCCTTTGATAAGCAGAGTTAATCAGCCCTGTTTCTAACAAGTTCTTTATATCTAGTCAAGCTCTTTCTGCTGTGTCTTCCGTTCACGGTGGTAACGGAGCACTGCAGGACTGCAAAACAACCCTGCAGAGGTTGAAAGCAGTGTGTATGCCAGCCTGTGGTCTTCCCCAGTTTAAATAACCATGCTGCTTTGCCATTCTGCAGAGGGTATGTTTTTCTTCCTTAATTATGTTGAAAGAAAATCCTTTCTTAGCCTTCTCCAGTTTTTCTGCACTAACACAGAAAAAGCATTAATATCCAGGGAAAGTTCAGTATATTCAAAATACTCCATAAATTATTAATGTCTTTGGGGCTTATCAAATGTTAATTGTCTAATATCTAGAATTTAATAGATGTAAAACAAATTATTTTACTAGTCTAATGGCCTAGACTCATGAAGTTCCCTTGTTTATTAGCACCGCCTTTTAAATTCTGTAAGTTGTTCCCTAAACTTTCATTCAAAGTGGCTACTATTTAGCATTTTCTGAAATAACATCATGAGGAGAGAGGCTTTGCTTTGTTTTGTTTGGGATGGCTATGTGGTTTGTGTTTTTGTAACTTAATCCAGCATCTGATATCTTTAGAGCCAGTAAATTATTTCCAAAAGAGTTAGTAGAAATAGGGTAAGCCAAACTTAACCAATTACAATTAAATTTATGAGAGCATAACTTAATATTGTAAGGACTATTACATTTAAATCAATCTGAATGTGAAGTTTATCTCTTGAAACTCAGTAGTTTGAATGGAATTGGAGTTTAATGGTACAAGAATATGCTGGTAATTGTACTTTTCATTTATTCTGCATAAAAAGTGTTCTTTTTAAAGTAATTCAAATGGATATAGACCTATTCCCTTTTTAGCTAGGTTTGGAATTGTCATGAACATAGTGATAATGAGTTCTTGGTTACTTTTGATAAATAGCTTTCAAAGGAGGTTTAGAACGTGATCAACACAACTGCAATTCAATTATTCTTTTTACTGCAAGGACTTAAGCACTGCATGCAGACTACTGTTTAAAGAATTTTTTTCCACCAAAGCCTAACTTTTAATGTTCTATTCTGTGCCAGCTTCCTGAACAAATATTTCCCAATAAAGGAGTGTTACAGAAAAGGAGGTTAATCAATATAATGCTAAAAAAGATGCAGGTTTCAAAAACTACTTCTTTTGAAACAGAGATAAAGCAGCATGATGTCTAACAGTAGGTAGTTAAATTAGCACTACAGTAATATTTGGTTCCCACATAATGGGAGCTCTCAAGTAACACCAGCTGAATCCTCATACTCTCTGGCTGTACATATAAAAGAGCTTCCTTGGGAGGCCAAGGCAGGCAGATCATTTGAGGTCAGGAGTTTGAGACCAATCTCACCAACATGTTGAAATCTTGCCTCTATTAAAAATACGAAAAAAACACTAGTTGGGCATGGTGGCACATGCCTGTAGTTCCAAATACTCAGGAGGCTAAGGCAGGAGAATTGCTTAAACCTGGGAGGCAGAGGTTGTAGTGAGCCGAGATCACACCACTGTGCTCCAGCCTGGGTGACAGAGTAAGACTCTGTCTCAAAATAAAACAAAACACTCTGTCTCAAAAAAACAAAAAAATCTCTTTAAATATGTAGCCAAAGAGTGTGAAATAACCTTACCTAAAAAAAATTTCTGGCCACTACTTTGCCCCCATAAAACACCTACTAAAATTTTTTTTATAAATTTGGCCAGGTGTGATGGCTCATGCCTGTAATCCCAGCACTTTGAGAGGCCGAGGCAGGTGGATCACTTAAGGTCTGGAGTTTGGTACCAGCCTGGCCAACATGGTGAAATCCCGTCTCTATTAAAAATACAAAAATTGGCCAGTGTGGTGGTGGGTGCCTGTAGTCTCAGCTACTTGGGAGGCCATGGCAGGAGAATCACTTGAATCTGGCAGGCAGAGGCTGCAGTGAGACAAGATCACCCCACTGCACTTCAGCCTGGGCAAAAGAGCAAGACTGCGTCTCGAAAACAAAAAGAAAAACCTTATTATAAATCAGTTAAAATCAGTTATAAATAAAAATCAAATACTCATTATATCAATAAAAGCCTGGTATATAATATCTCAGAGTAAAATTGTCCTGAAATGCTATCAACTTTGTTACCATTTAATCAAACAATCTCAACAGGCCTCATCTTGCAATTGAGAGCAAGTCTGCAGAGTGTTTTTAAATGCAAAAGAAGAAAGCATATGTAGAAAAAGTGTCAGTTCATGAAGAAGATACCTTGATTTACCTCAGCTATAAAATCTAGGTTTATGGTCAGAATCAGCTGATTTTTACTGTAGTCTCCCTGTGGCTTTCTGCCCTAAGAACCATCTGATGTTATTATTCACTCCTCAGCCACTTTAATCATTTCATTTTGCAGTTTTCCTTTGGAGCACTGAGCATCTCAGTTCAGGTTAAACATAGATAAGAAGAGAGATTTTCTACTCAGAAGTTTATCAAATGCAATTCCACACCCTGGAGAGAAGGGAGGCTAGTGAATAGAAGGTGAGTCCGACCACAAGCCTGACTACTGACCTCTTCAGGAACAAGTGGTTCGATCATGGGGGCATCCTCCTGCCTGGCAGCCAGTCGCACGGGGGAGGTGGAAAGCCTCTTCTCCCATTCATTCGTGACGGCAGTGTCTGTCGAGGTTTCTAAGAAGGTTCTTTTCAGCTCGCTAATGTTGGTTTGATGTTTCATCAGGTCATCTTGAGTTTTTTCTAGCTCCTATATTCAGAACATAAAGTATCCAACAGTCAACATTTTACATTTGTGTTCCTTTCAGCTCTGTTTTTTAAAATAATGTTAATCTTATTAGTAGTCAAAATAAAATACATTTTGATCAAGGCTCATGGCACTACCACAGACACTCTGGTGAAAATGTGATTTTCCCATGGAAAGGAAAAAAAAAAAAAAATCTAATTCACACAAACATGAATACCAAAAGAATTTTAGAAGGTAAACTATAAAGAGTACAATTCACGTGTAACCGGAGAGAATTAAAATAAATATACACACAGGAAAAGGGATCTATATCTAGGAGAGAACAAGGAATCAGAGGCCGAGAAGTCATTCCCACTTATTAACAGGTGAGCACACGGTTCATGCATCACAGTACAAGCCCACAGGTATTCCACCAAAAGAAAAACAACACACACGAACATGCACTGGTATGTACCAATACCAACCTCTAACATAAGATTACTATGTTTGACATACACATTTTCACCCTTTATTCGTTTAATCAGACTATTCTGAAAAAAGTGGAGAAGAAAGGGAAAAGTAAGGGACACAGTTGTCAAGGGAACAAATGCCAACCTACACAATGCACCAATAACACGGTAACCGGCTACAGAGCATGCTGAAAGGTCTGAACGCTGTAGACAAACAATGACTTATCACACACTGGTTTTTTTTTTGTTTTTGTTTTATTTTTAATTTTCTACCTGTGCCTTGAGCTCTGCATCTTCCTCCTGGTCCGACTGCCAGCATCAAGAAAGAGTGGGAAATAAAGTCTTACATGCAATTTACTCTAAGATTGAAGAACTATAGACTTGCTGAATGTTGGCACTCGTATGCTCTTGCATATGGATGCCACTTCTTTCTTATACATAAACCACAACATTCTCACACACAATTAGGAGCTTAATAAGAATACAGGCGTGAAAGAGTTCTTGCCCGGTGGGTCTTTGGTATTTTGACCAGCAGACACATGTGGTTGAGAAGGTGACAGCAAGGGTGTAGCAGGTTGTTCTTGATGAACATTAGAAATAGTTCAGGAAGTTGGGGGAGCCAGATTAAAATTAAAATTAAAAATTGTAAGAATAGCTATGATGACACAATAATGAGAGCTCCTGTGTAGTGTATGAATCTTGCCCTATGGGGTTAGTGATTAGGATTCCCAATTTGTAGACCAGAGAACCCATGCTCAGCCTGGGCCACACAGTGAAACCCATCTCTACTAAAATACAAAAAATTAGCCAGGCGTAGCAACGTGTGCCTGTAGTTCCAGCTACTCAGGAGGCTGAGGCAGGGGGATTGCTAGAACCCAGGAAGTAGAGGCTGCGGTGAGCTGAGATTGTGCCACTGCACTCCAGCATGGGTGACAGAGCAGGACTCTGTCCTTAAAAAAAAAAAGACTTTCACACAGAGGTTCCCACATTTTAAAGTTTCTTGAGACCTTGATTTTCCTTCTTTTTTTTTTTTTGAGACGGAGTCTCGCTCTGTCATCCAGGCTGGAGTGCAATGGTGTGATCTCGGCTCACTGCAACCTCTGCTTTCTGGGTTCAAGCAATTCTCCTGCCGCGGCCTCCAACATAGCTGGGATTACAGGTGCCCACCACCAGGCCCGGCAAATTTTTTTTATTTTTAGTACAGATGGGGTTTCATCATGTTCGCCAGACTAGTCTTGAACTCCTGACCTCAAGTGATCTGTCCCCCTTGGCCTCCCAAAGTGCTGGGATTACAGGAGTGAGCCACCTCATCCAGCCAATTTTCTCGAATGTATATACTTAAGAACAAATTCAGGGAAAGAAGGCTAATATGGGGAAAGTAAAAAAGTTTTTTTTAAAAAAGAAAAATCAACAACTATCAACACCATGATTTCTTTAAAAGGTTTTAGACGAGATAATTTTTGAGATTTGAAAAAATAGTTATCCCAAAGCCACTTCATTCTCCCGGTTTTTCTGATTTCAAGGACTGGTTTAATCCCTGGACTGGTGTCTGTGTATCAGTAATTAGTAAGCAGGCCAAGCCACACGTGCATGCAGCGGTGAAGCTATGTTACTAATTATGGCTCTTGGACTCAGGGCCGAGGCTTTATGCCCTTGTGCTACAAGAGGAGACCCAAAATGAAATTGTAGGTGAGAAACGGATCACACCAAGTCAGAGGCCTTAAGAAAATCATTTAGTCTACCTAGGTCTCCCTCTTCTCATTTGCCAATGGGGACAAGATTGCTTACTCTGCATGTCCTACACTGACCACTGCTGTGCTGGCCACCTATAGAAGGGAAAGAGTTTCGTCAGTATCATGGGGCATACAGGAAACTTTAAACAAAGTGCCTATATGCTGGTGACATGCTCATTCTTCAGTGCATGGAGGGGTTCACAGTTCTTCATTTTATTTTTAAAATTTATTTTACTTATTTTTTTGAGGCAGTGTCTCACTCTGTCACCCAGGCTGGAGTGCAATGGCACAATTTCGGCTCACTGCAACCTTCACCTCCCAGGTTCAGCGATTCTCCACCTTAGGCTCCCAAGTAGCTGGGATTACTCGGCATGCACTGCCATGCCCAGCTAGTTTTTTGTATCTTTAGTAGAGACAGGGTTACACCATGTTGGCCAGGCTGGTCTCAAATTCCTGACCTCATGATCCACCCACCTCGGCCTCCCAAAGTACTGGGATTAGAGGCATGAACTATCATGCCCGATTTCTTCATTTAATTTTCAAGTTTCATAAGCTACCTATGTTACAGGTATTCCCTCGCATGCTTTAAATTTTATATAACACATTTTAAAACTACTGTAGAAGTTTAAGGTATTATTATTAAAATATTTTTCATTTATAGCACACGTTAAGATTCCAGTGAAATTTACTGGGTGTATACCCTGTAGTTACATGTAACTAACTCTTACAAAATCAAGGTGTAGCTTTGTTATATTTGGCAAAGAGAATTACTTACTTGTAATAGATTTATATACGATTTCTTAAAAGAATCTGGATGATTCTTTTTACAATATTTTGTAAAATATTATTTTATAATATTAACTTTAATATTAAAAACTTATAGCTTTGGACTGAACTCTGGCATTTCTAAGAAAGAAACCTAAAATCATGAAATACATTTTCTGAAGATATTTTCAATTAAGTGATATACAGATAACATTTACAACATTTTTAGTTTTTTTCTAAATACCCAATTAGAAAATATTATAATTGGATACAAAAAATAACATTAAAAAATCCTAAAATATTATTACAAAGTAAAAACTAAAATTTGCTAGTAAAACCTAGCAAAATTAACAGCAATAAACATCTTGACTTCCATTAGTACAGATATTGTTTTTACAGAAATTTTAACTACTTACTCACAGAGAGATGATTTGAAAAACAATATATAAGCCACACACACACACAGACACACATACACGCATTTTACCCTAAAGAATTAATAAAGGAGAAATAACAGTATCTTTTCTATCGTTGTTTAATGTGATTATATTTTTTAACAAGAGAGTACTAACAGTAATTTAAAAATTCATTTCTTATGAGTGACCGAGGCTATAGCCAAAGGCTACAAAAATGAGTAAGGTAAGTCTTATTTTAACAAGAATTATCTCACCATTGGGGAATTAAAAATATATCTGCATCCAGCCAATATGTTAGTTAAATTATTGTGACCTTCTTTCCATTCATTCTATTATACATCTATAGCTTCTCATTTGGGATAATTTTTCCTAAAAAAATGTATTATCAGTTTAGGCAAGTGGTTCTCCAAATATGTTCCTAAGACGTGCAGAGTCAATATCACCTGGAAACTTGTTAGAAATATAAATTCTCAAGTCCACTCCAGCCTTTCTAAATGAGAAACGTGTGGCTAGAATCCTCCAGGTAATTCTGATATAGGCCAGAGTTTAAGAACCACTGGTCTAGACAACAAAATATATATTTAACTCCTACTGTTAAAGGTAGAACTGATCTCCATTACAAGAGCTCACATGTGGAGTTCTTAAACACAGAGCCACCCCACAAGGCATTTTCGGTAGGCAACTACCAGCCACTCTCAGCCATGATACCAACCTCAGTAGCAGTGGTCTCCCCGTCGGCTGCAGTGTCCGTGCGCTCACTGTCAGTCTATTGACCACAGAAGTGATCAGGTTCCAGGAGGAAGGCAGGGACAGAAAGTAAACCATCTGGTCAAATATGGTCTGGCATGGGTCAGACAGGTCATTTTCTTTCTCTGTGATCTGTGTCATACTACCTTCCCACAAGAACACAAGTTCAAGCAAAGCAACAGAAGGGCCAGAGCTAGGTGTCATCACAGAGCCAACTCACAGGAAGACCTGAGGCAGGTCCAGCCTGCAGGAGCTGCAGGAGCTGGGGAGCCACACTGACCTGTCTGGTTCTATGTCTCAGGAAAACCAATTTGTCATCCCCACACCCCCGCTCCAACTTTTAAGTAAAAACCCCAAGCAAGATCTCCTTAAAATGTTCAATGCAAATAAAACTGATGCTTATATATATTCTATTCTAGTAATATTTCCTATTTGAAAGGTAAATGAAAATGTCAATTTACAGTAAAAGCTACTGTAACAGTCACTGGACTTTCAGCCCCTCATTTATATCATTATGATAATTTATATCCATCTAAGGACAACAGGCTGTCTGCATTACCTGTCAGTTATAAAAGGCACATGTCAGTGACTCATAGGCATATATTTTTTATGGGAAAAAGGTAACTCGATTTTCAAGTAGCATTGCTAACTAGATATTTTTTAAGACTACATGTTAAGTTTATTTTGCCCCACCCTCCAATATAAAGAAGTATATTAAGTATGTATTGAAACATCTTGCTCCAAAAATACCATTCAAATGAAGCAAATAATAATAAGAATTTTTAAAACAATAGACAGAGAGAGAGAAAGAGAGAAACATCTACTTGGAAACAAATAAAACAAAGCACAGCATTTGACAGAGCCTAGGTTTTGGGAAGAATGAGAACAGTAATTTCAGGACTGGTTTTTAATCTATTTCACAGGGGTTTATGACTTCAAATGAAAACTGTTTTCTCTCGAGTAGAGTAGAGCCAGAGACATCTAAATGCCTTAATATTATCTGATTTTCCCTCCACAGGTATCAACTAACCATTAATAAAGTTTCCCTGATCAAATATTTGTGATTAATATTTTGAAAACAAAAATCAAAATGGGAGGGGAGTCTATGATGGTGAATCTGGTTCTTAAAATAACCTCCCACTATAAAGAAGAAGGAATGTCAAGAAAGTACAACTGGGACAGTGTTGTTTCCATTGACATAACTCTGGCTATGCCGATTTCTTGGCACTAGCCACATGTTTCATGCTGTATACTCCTAAAAGAAAAGGAGGCTCAACACACGCTCAGCCCGTGTCCCTGAGGACATCATTCTGGCACCCTTGCTACCAAGTCTAAGTGGAAAATAATTTTCTGTAGGTTGGTAAGGAAAGCGTGCTGACACATTTTCATGACCTGACTGGCCTGGTTAACAACTGGGATCAGGAGGTGGCTGTTAATTTTCTTATGAGGGTGATTGTTGCTATGGCATTTAGTATGGCTGTACTGAGTGACAGCCCTGGGAAAGGCCAGTATGAATTAGTAAGATAGACTGATTATTTGTTCAGGTATACAGAATAACTCAAAGATTGTAGGCTTTCGAGAATAAATAAGAATGGCTTGCACTTAGTGTTTTAGTTTTTTAGACAGGGTCTTACTCTGTCACACAGGCTGGAGTGCAGTGGTGCAATCCTGGCTCACTGCATCCTCCTGGGTTCAAGCGAATCTTGCGCTTCAGTCTCCCTAGTATCTGGGACTACAGGTGCATGCCACCATGCCTGGCTGATTTTTGTACCTTTAGTAGAGACAGGTTTTCACCATGCTGGCCAGGCTGGTCTCAAACTCCTCACCTCAAGTGACCTGCCTAGCTCAGCCTCCCAAAGTGTTGGGATTACAGGCGTTAAGCCACTGTGCCCCGCTGTAATGACTTGCACTTATATTCTAATTAGTTGTGTCAAACACTTCTAAAATTGTTGAAAGTGTTTCTCCTCCTATCTAGCTTATTTCCCTTATGGTTTTAAAATTTACTTCAGTAACTTGCAAGCATCTTAGCATTAAAGGACAGTGGTTGTTAAGAGGGGAAGGTTTAATGTCAGATGAACATGAGCTCAAATCCTTACTGTTCAAACTTGTGGCATATCGGGTACTTTTTATAATTTAATCCCAGTTTCCTTCCCATAAAATGGGAAAAATAACAGCTCTAACTATATTGGGTAATAGATACTAAGTGCTTTATACAATGCCTGACACACACAGAGCTAAAATAAAAATGCCTATAATAATTACATAATTATCATCTTTTATTAGCCATACACAAATAGCATAGTCCATATCTAAAACTTCTTGAATTCCTACTTAGCATTTAGTCAGTCAGTCAGTAGCATAGTGCCTGATCAACAGTCAATAAATGAGTAAGGCTGAATAAAGCAGTTTTATAGCACTGGCATTTCTATAATGTATGATGACTATATAAAACTGCAAATGTATAGCATATAATAAACTATCAGATAATACAGTGTATATAATTTAAAATGTTGTAATTCAGTTAATTAATTTTTCTCCCTGTTGATTTGAATTCATCTTTTTCTTTGTATTATCAAAAACATTACTCAGAAACAGACATGTAATTTCATTTTGTGGTTTGGGGAGGTAAGCTCATCTCATGTTTCTTGATAGGATATTTTGATATCCTATCTCTTCTTATCTGACCATTCTGATAGTACAAAAGAAAAAACATAACTGGCCAACAGCTTTATAATGTGAAATGATGAAGCCTTTTTACACTGGATTTCACTCTTGAGACTGGAAATAAGCCACTATAACACGTAAAAAATGTAAGCAATGATGATACCATATTTAAAAAGAATTAATTACTAGTGACTTGGCAAAACAAAAGTGACAGAGCTGAACTGTACGTTAAAAAGTTACCCAGTGTAGCTGCCACAGCGCTTGAGGCCTAGAGATTAAATCAGGCCATGTAAGCAAATGGCAATTTAAACAAAAGAAAAGAAAACAAACTGGAATGACCTAAATATGAGTTCTCCAGCTTGGCCTCAACTAGAATGCACAGCTCTTAACACTTGGGGTTAAGAGACGACACTGAACAGATGGCCAGTAACAGAGTCTGGTGGCAGATCATATATGGCAGATCAGCTATCATATAGACTGACTAGGGCTGCGGAGAAGGGTGATGAAGATTCCCGTGGTCAGTGCTAATTCATGGTTTCAGAGGTTTGCAATAACAAGGACAGTTATGACTGGGAAGCTCCAATCACGCATTGGCTAGCTTGTAACAATTAACTGCTGTGATTTGTTTTGCCGATGTAATGCAGACATGCCCAAGTTTAACATTAATTCTCATGCACTGATTACAACAAGATGTATACCCTGGATTAGGCACAAGATCTGTGTGGTTTGCTATATAAAAGTTCAAACTTTTATTTCAAATTTAGAAAAGCATAAAACAGCAATCTTTTTCGCTTTATGTTAGCTTGATGAAAACTGTATCTCCATGTTAGAAATCAGCTGATAACCAGTCTTTGTAGACAATAGTGTGTTCTTAACTGTAACATGTTCTAGTCCAACACTATTTGATAATATTGTCAGTATGAGAAATCGTGATGTTAAAACCTAGGATGTCAAGTAGTTCTCAAAATATCTTCCATGTATACAAAGTTATTTATATATAAGTTGGAGCAAATTGTTACATATAGCTCAAGAACCTTGGAAATGACTCTTATGTAAAATCTATTAAAAGTGTAGACTTTTATTTAAAACACCTGTGAGGCCATTCACATTTTTCCCTTCTGCTGCAAAGAAATGGTCATAATTCTACTAAATATAGATACTCACACACCCTCAAAATATAACACTATATACTCACAGGTGCAGCTCAAATTATGACCTTCTAGCTGAGCACAGAATTAGACTTTCTTTCCTTTTTTAGCATTGCCTTGACTTTGTGACTTTTTGAAAAAATGCTAGGACTGTTTTGCTTTTCCCCTATCACAACAGCTCTTGTTCTGTGGAAACAGGAAGGCTGCAGGGAGCCTGGGGAGAGGTGGGCAGGGGGCGTGCATGACAGCAGCCGGGGCCTCTGGTGGCAGCTTCCATTATTCTTCCCTGCACTCTATTTGAAGGCTGGAGAAAGAGAAACTGCTGGGCTGTTCACAGGGCTGTGGAGCGGTGGGAAAGGAGAGCAATTAACAGAGAAAAACTCCTGGCTACCATGTTAACTCGCCCAATTGCTCGAGTTGGGGATAGGAGCCTGCCCCGCAGCAGCATGCCTTCAAGGATGGAGGCGGATGGTTCAGGGTCTTTCCCCTACCATGTCCATATCTGGCTGGCAGCCACAGAGGCCCAGCCTTACCACACTGTGAAAATGGGGGCGGATTTTGAGGCTCATGCTGCAGTTGAAAGAATCACTGTCATGTTATTTGCACTGACATTGCTAGCACTGGTGAAATTTCAGCCTGTTTTTATAATGTTTGAAAACTTCAGTTTTGTCTTTTTCTGATTGTGTCTGTACACTGCTGCCCTGCATGCAGTTGCTTCTGGGCCTGTTGCTGCCCTCACCAATGACTCATCAGTCTGGTGCTTTAAACTGTCTTGACCCAACACAATGCGGGATCTACCATCTGGCAATGATGATCAGAGGGCGGTGGGTACATTTTAGGATCTCCAGGGAGGAGATACCTTTGCAATTTTAGAAAGCTACCCAGGTGATGATGATATATCCCCTCTGGGGATGCACTCTTCCACTTCTCCTTGACTATCATTAAGTTGAAAACTACTCATCTGTCTTATATGTGATTTACTTTATTAAGCAATAACTGATCAGAACCTTTAGCTTAGCCCTGATCTTTTACACAGCTAACCGGTTATATGAAATTGACTTCTGGCTGAGTCTTTCATCCCACGTAGAACTCAGTGGGTAGCAGAACGATTCCAGGTTGGGCTCAGACTGCTACATCCACATGGTGTTGTGCCTAACCCTGGGACCCAGGTTGGACTCCCCAACACACAGAAACCTCAACATATTGGCACAGACAATAAATGAGGCTCTGAAAGTAGGACCACTATGTCAGCAGCCGGCTAACACTGTTTCGGACTGAAGCACGGAACACGAAGGGGAGGCGTGTTCTATGCCGAGGTACACACCTCTTCCTCTGAACTGTCACTCGGGTCATTGTCTAGGGAGGCGCTCAAGGAGGCCGCCTTGGGCTCCAGGTAGCAGAGGCACAGAGCCAGAGGGAAGGAGAGAGTGAGAGCGTATGGCACTGAGAAGGAGGCAGACAGCAGAAAGAAAAAGATGAAGAGGAAACAGGGCACGAGGGACGGTGAGCGGATCGGAAGGTAATGCTGCAAGCTCTGGGGCAGGAGGTTGGTTTCAGAAAGGTTGGGGAAAGAGAGGTACCCATCATCGTCTAGGAGGGAGGGGAATGACTCAGGGAGCTGCAAGGAGAAGGAGAACAGGGTGGTCCCCTTGCCAGTTTGCTGTCTGTAGCTAAAGGCCACATCTTGATCCCCTAGGTAAGGCCTCCCTGGGCCATCAGAGTCCACGGTGGGCTCTCCAGGCATGTGCTCAGCTCTGGATGGCTCATAACCTGGCAGTTTGCAGTCATTCTCCTTACACCTCCTACGGAGATCTGTGGGAGATGTGGGGGCACAATGGGCAGATGGGGGTGACAAGGGACATGAGTCAGTGCCAAGCCCAGGTGACTGATGTGAAAGAGACAGAGAGAGACAGAAAGCAGCAAACAGAGGTGCAAAAGGACAAAAAGAAAACTGCAATTAGTTAATTTTCTTTTGGGTATCAATATAAACTTGTAAAACAAAAATTTTAGCACTAGGGTTGCTCATGAATTTGAAAGTATTCAAGCTGCATGCCAATGTTGCCATGAATGGCCACATTTCTCCCATTAGACCATCACATACAGGGTAGAATTCTTTAAAACTTCAGAACAGAAGGTATTTGTGGGAAATCCCAAAGTTTGCACATTTCACATGATCAAAAAATTTCATTATAGACCAACAACTCTAGAAAGCTTCAGGTTTTGGGGAGCAAACATAAATAAATCTGATAACTTAAAATCAAGACTTTCAATAACTTTCTCCTGAACTCCAGGTAGCAGAGCTGTTACTACAGTTCAGCTGGATTAAAAATGAAGATGAAATCCAATCTGGACTTTGATTAAAAAAAAAATCTCTAGCATTAATCCTTTCCTTGGTTATTCAATTACATGAAAAACAAGGAGTTTATATTCCAAATCAAGAAGTTTCTGGCCCCACTCCTATCTGATAAGTAGTTAGAATCAAGGATTCGACACTTAGCATTCCTGAATATCTGTCTCCTCACAAAGAACTGAAGTTCCCTTGAAAACTCCATTTTGGCTCCTTTATTTAAGATGTCAGTAGAACTTCAAGTGGTTTCAACAAGCTAACTAGCAAAAACAATGTGTTTTCTTGTAATATGCTTTGCGAGGGTTTACTTTCTATTATTTATGACGCATAATAATAGAAAAATATCATTCCCCAGCCTTCTGATTTTTCTTAGCAGATAAAGGGCATGTTTAGATCTTTGAGTCCTTAATACAATGATGAATGCAGACTTTCCTGCAAGTGCTCCTCTGGTGAGCTCAAGATTTTATGGGGAAAGTGAATCTACTTCCCCTCCTCTCTGGGTCCTGGAAGTCTCCAGGACCACCATGGCCAGTTTCTTCTGCAAGTGGTGGAGGGGCTCCCTGACAAGAAGGGGAGGAAGGAAAGCACGCAAGCCTCAAGCAGGATCTGGGATGGGACAGGAGCTGCTGAGGGCCAGGAAGTCCAACCCTACAGGTGATTAGACTCCTGCTGCTGTCTTTATCACTGCATGCGTGCGTGTGTGTGTGTGTGTGTGTGTGTTTTGCCCATTGATCTGACAGCATAGAAATTACCCAGCCTGCCTGGTATGGTTATCCAATCCTGACTTGGGGAGAAGTGGTATATATAGCAACAGGCAGAAAGAAAATGTACAAATAAAATTACATCTGAGGCATGAGGGAAAGAAAACACAAAATCATAGGCTTTCGCCATTTGAGGGGTCTATTTTTACTATGAGACAAGTATGTCTTTTCCCACACACTCACTTTTGACATTAAACACTGCCCTTTAAACAGGAACCTGCACAAATCTCATTCAACTAAGAATAATGTAGGTGCTACAGGCTAACTTCTGCATGAAGACAACTGTCCTCCAGCATGGAGGTGAGGTGGTCCATGACTCGGGGGATCCCGTGCCTCCTTCCCAGGCAACCTAGGGAACCAGCCTTTCAAGAGCTATTTTCAGTAATACACTTTCATTTTGGTTGAACAATAAGTACCCTCTATGTTACTTTGTGAAGATAGAAGATAACATTAAGGTTTAACCTTTCATGCTGATTATTAAAGTCATTTTTAAAAGACAGCTTTGCACTGGGGAAACCAAGCCAGCCCACAACTATACCAGCACCAGATTTCAGCTACAGACTTCCTGAAGACATTCTGCCCAGAGTACTCGCTTCTCAGAGACTCAGGCTATGAGGCTGGCAGTGTCCTTTATTTTTCCATGTCACAAATGGCAGCAAGGGAGGACAACTTAGTGCTACATTTTACATGAACAAACTGGTGGTCTTTTAAAATTAAATAAAGTGAAAATGCCTTCCCTTATCATGGGAGCAAAACTGAAATCATTTACTTTGATGTGTCACTTCTTCATATTTATAGAACCATGGCAGTCACATGTTGGCATGGCAATTTTACAAACTGTTAGGATAACTAAGTGGAAGAACCACATATTTGTTGGGTGGATTATCTTATTTTCTGTTCTCTTTAAAGCCTTCCTCGACTAAACAGACAGGAAGAGTGTAAAAACAAAATTTAGAACGAAGCACATTTTAACAGCAAAAGTTATCGAAATATCCCTGCCATTGGATTTCCAACTCTGTACTTATCTTTGTGTTTGCCAAATAAATGATCTTATCTTAAAAAATAAAAGGTGATGGATTGGGTCAAAATTATTTGTCTATATTAAGATGTCACTGCTAAATTCTTGTCAAAAAGAACACTTTCCATAGAATCTGAGCTAGTGATTCTCCATTTCCATTGGAAGAGCCTATACACAAAGGAGCACTTGTGAATCAAATTTACTCAAGTTTTAGGATAGCCCATGGGTTGTTAAAGCATTTTCATTCTATTTCTACTTACTCTACGCTCTGTACACTGTTTTTCCATTATTATTAGGTATAAACCTCCTGAAGTGTTTTTTCACTTTTAAATAATTTTTCTGAAAAGTTGTTTTATAGTGCTGGACCACAAGAAATAAACATAGTGTTTAAAAATTATGTTAAAAAAGGTATTTAGTTTGTGGTGAAACGATGTTACAAAGTTTAATGAATGACACACTGAAAGAAGAAACTGTGCTGCCAAATTCACTTTTTATCTTCTGTTGCAACTTTCTGCCTTGAGATACCTTTTCAAAACATGGCTGGTCACTACTCTGCTGATTAGATTGTAAGTATAAATATACAGGCTGTGGTCACTCCATGTACTTATAGTCAGAAGAATGGCAATATGATAATTGGATATCTAGAAAATATGCTGTACTTGGGTAGGAGAATAGGGCCAGAAACAAAGAAAACAGCTTTACTGACAGTTCTGAAATGTGAGCCCAAACAGAAAAGTGTAGTACGCCACCAAAAGTATTTTAAGATACACATACAGGACAGCTATTGAAAGTCTTACATAGCACACAAGTTGTTAAAATAAAAATTTTCCCAAAGAGCTACGAATGAGTCTTTCAGAGGAAAATGTTGAAAAAGGAATCATAATTTAAAAAATGACATATGAATGTGACCAGAGCTGACATATGATTTACCCTAAATCTGAGCACATTCCTAGTTTACAGCCTCATCATTTAGTCATTCTTAAAAGCTGGAGCAAGCTCTAGCTGGCAGCCTGGGAGCTATACCTTTCCCTCGTGCCGGATGGCCGAGACGGGCGTGACTTCTTCCCCCTTCCTCCGTTTATCCTCTTCCTCGTCTCGCTCCTCCTCGGCCTTCTTCTCCGGAGTCACAGTGGTGATCAAGTTGGTCTGAGAGATGCCTTTTGTTGTGGCGTACTGGCCAGTACCAACCTCTGCAGCAGACATAGAATCCTTCATGTATATTTCATGGTTTTCATTCACTGATGCTAAAAGCAAATACAATTGAGGAAATAAAATCCAAAATAGTTAAGTCAGAAGACAGATGAACACCACCAAAAAAATACCATCACAAAATACCAGCTTAGTTTTGAAAAAACAAATCAGTGCTGCAGGGACCTTCATGGAAGCATGACCTTCCCGTATTTCCTGTAATATTAGTGCTTTAAAATTCTTGAAATGCTCATGCCTTAAAATTTCATCCACCCTCAGGCTCTCTGGCGAGGATGTGTGTAAGGGTGGGGGTGAGTGGAGGGTCACGAGGCTAAGCTGCCACTAGGCCTGTTATTCCCTGGAGTCACAGGCTGGCACTGGTACCCGTCTCGTAGTGGCCAACTCCACACCTAACAGCAGTCTCTGCAGTACACAATTGCTCTCATACACTTGGCTCTTTGGAAGTGTCATTCACCAAGGAGCACTGGATTGGTTTTCATATTATTATTATTAATGTTGAAAACCTATCATTCTTACAATATAAAAGCTCCATGAGTAATAATAAAAATTAACCATCTTGGTAGAGATTATAAAATTCAGATGGCAATTCCATTCATCTAAATTACAGAAATGTTTTCATTTCTACTGCATTTTAAACAGACTACCATAATATGCATATACATTTATTCATCTCTAATATTTTGGGAAAACACGACAAATGTTGCTAAATGAAATTCATGCAAATGCAAAACATGCAAACATAAGAGAGTGAGACATAACCTTTCATCCCAGCTAAAATGTCTTAGTGAAAAGATGCTTAACTGAGTTAAATTTTAAAATTTAGTATTCATTATTTTTAGATATAAAATTTATTAAAACTTACAAATGTTGCTTTTCAAATACACATTAAACACAGACAAAATATAATCTACATTATTATTTTAGGAATTTTAAATTGTAAATAAAAGAAAGGATTCTGAAATGAAATTCTCTCTGAAATCTTTTTGATAGCTAAATTATGTCACTAAAATATCTTCACTAAGATATTTTATATCTCTTTATACTGTTGAAAAAGCTCATATGAAACACAGTTTCCTAATGGACCAGTTAGGCCATGCTCTGCAAGATGCAACCTGCAAAAAAGCAGTTTATGTTGCAACATGCAGCTGTGCCACCCAGCTCAATAGCAGCGGAAAACATACTAGAGCTAGCAGGACCACAAAGAGTGAGAGACAACACATACTAACGTCACTTTTGGGCAGGGAGAAAGAGACAGCATGACATTACTATATTGATTTCACAATTGTCTTCTGTCTTCTCTGCAGTCATCATCACACAAAAGGTCATAGGCAAACAACATTCACAACAAATGTGTTCCCTGGGGTGCACATCACTGAACAAAGTGGATGATATTCAGGAAAAAAAAAGTGCGATTCTACAAAGTTCCACAAATACCAATAACATATAGAAATAGGTAATAGAGACGTTCTAAAGGAAAAAGAAGTGTCAATAGGACAAACCAGAAAGAAAAGCTTCAATGTTAACAGGGGTATTTCAATATCTTAATTCAACTCGAAACGGTCCTGATAACTATCGTACTCAAAAGGGCTGGCTCTAAGTTTGGTATTCCAGAAACTCTCAGAAGACACACAATGGTAATAACTTCCTAGGCTAACTCACAAAAGCCTGTAAGAATAATTATCAGTATAAAATGCAGAAAATATATACACCATGGAATACTACTCAGTCATAAAAATGAATGAAATCATGTATTTTTGCAGTGACTTGCATGGAGCAGAAGGTCATTATTCTACATGAAGTAATTCAGGAATGAAAAGTCAAATACCATATGTTCTCATTTGTAAGTGGGAACTAAGCTATGGGTATGCAGAGGTATGTAGAGAAATATAATGGACACTGGAGACTCAAGGCAGAGAGTGGGAGAGGGGTGAGGGATTTTAAAAAACGACATATTGGGTACAATGTACACTACTAAGGTGACAGGTGCAGTAAAATCTCAGACTTTACCACTACACAATTCATCCTTGTAGCCAAAAACCACTTGTATCCTCAAAGCTACTGAAATATTTAAGAATGTGAAAAAAGAGTAATTATCAGTATGATTATTGAGATAATTGCCTACGTAACAAGAGTGCTTTCACATATATCTTGCTTTTCACAACAGCCTTGTCAAAGGTGGCCTTATTCCCATTACACAGATGACTAAAACAGACCTGGAGAGTTGAAATCATTTGCCAACCATCACAGAGACAGAGGGCAGCGGAGCCTGGACTTCAGTCTGGATTTAACAATGCTGCATGAGTACAGTTCCCACCTCACCAGTGGCATACATAACATAGCACTAATAATGCTATTTTGATTTCTTCTATAAACTGTTCATAAAGTATTCCTTTAGAAAAAGATGGTTGTTTTTAGTTGGGAGATTCAAGGAGCACCTCTTCCCATCAATCACCTGGATAGTGAAATGGGGAAGGCAGAGCTTCTCAGGGGAACAGTGGCAAAAAAGGTAGGAAGTGAGATGGTCCTAGGCACTTGTAACTTTTGTTTATTTTAAATTATGTTTTTCCTTATTATTTAAATTGTACGTGCACACCAGAAACTTTTCATTCTTTCTATTTGCACAGGTTAAGATCTTCTATTAAAAACAGTGAATCTCCAGGTGCTCTAAATGGCAGACCCAGACATGACTCAGTCCCCAGGTACTGCTACAGTGGGCACGCCTTGCAGCAGAAAGCGTGCCTCCATATTACTCCAGAGAGCAATCAAGAAACCGTTTGATAAAACAAAACCCTACTAAAAATTCACTGTTGTGTTATCCCCGACAAAGGTTGTTTGAGTGATCATCTCTCCATTTGACTAATTCGACTTGGCAGTTCAGAGCCCCCACACAGCACTGTTCTCCCAGCCCATCTGGAGCAGTAATTAGCACAACCAGGAGAATTTAACTTACAGCCCTTTGCTCTGTCATTTGCATACCGTCCTTTCTACCAGCTATTATCAACTGATTGATAAAGGTCACATTTTATTCATAAAATTTTTTAGAGACAAATAAATTTAACTTACAGATTTATGAAACAAATAGTCTTAAACCTACTAATCCTTTAAGACCTGTCGGCAAGGAAATCAAATCACAGAGTATGTGACTACTATATTTAGAATGAGAGCATCTTTTTCCAAATTCAGGGTGTCAGCTTATGAAAGCTATTTTCTTCATTCCCTGAGTGCCATTATTTTATGTTATTTTACATAAACCTGCAGATGTTAGACTGACAAAGCCACTTTTATTTCACTGGGGGGGGCCTTAAAAATCTGCCATTCAGCCAATGAGCAACAACTGCTTTCCAATGTACAATATCCAGGAAGATCTATGCTTATTGAAAGCTCATGATAGTTTCATACATTTTTGGGGGTAGCTGTTAGGGTTATTAAGGGCCAGTAAGTGATGCCTACCTCCATCCAAGCTGCGAGACATGGTATAACGTTTGCTGGACGAGCGTTCAAAGTAAGGCGCTGGGCGATCTATCAACGCACTGGCTCTTCTCGTTTGCGCTTGTGTCCTGCCACTGTAACGAAACTTGGAACCCAAGGTTAGGAATTTCTTGGGAGGTGCTTCTGGTAACAACAGTCTAAAGACAATACAGAAAAACAGCAGAAAGACTATTAAGACCAATATTGAGAGTGCTTTTTAAACTTGATATTCTGCGAGGTCATGTGTTTTGTATGCTAAAGGTTTAACACATAACTTGCAGTTAAATAAATCTGATTTCATTTAAAAAATGCACATGATATACATCAACCAGGGATGTTGTAGAGAGGATATATGCAAATTGGGGTTGTACTAAACTAGAGGAACTTTTAACATTCCATGCAAAGTGGACAGTCTATGGTTCTGTAAGCCCAAACAGCAACTAAATGGGCGATATTAGTGAAGAAGAGTGATAATTTGCTATTGGATGTCTATTGATGGGTCTCATACTATGTGCATGTAGGTAAAGAGAGGATATTGAGCAATCACTGAAATTGTAAGGAATTGAAATAGTAAGGAATGGATTGGCTATTTGAAGTGGACACTCTAAAAACAATGTAAAGACACTAAAGAAGTGGGGGAGGTGGGACATGTAAGTACTTGACAAATTAAGGAAAATCCTTCAAACTTAGTCTTTTTCTAGTTCTGTTAGGATTTCTCATCAAGAAATATGGTGAGAACGAACTTGAAGGAATAGTGAGGATAAAATTCCATATTTCTCTTCCTGATAATCTTTTTCAGTATAAGTGATTATAATTATTCCTTAGGGAAAAAACAAAATAATCTCTTCCTACCTGAAAAACGTATGATGCTCAACACAAACTTTCCACAAACGCTTGGCAGCTCGATGGTTTGGCAGCTTAAACCCAATGGTGCTTTCAAATTGTTCAAACTAAATTAAAAAAAAATACATTGAAGAGTAAAGTTTAAAATTATGAATAACAGAAGCCCTGTAAATAACTTACAAAATCATAATGCCACCAGAATTTTAAAAATTTACTAACTAGATCAATTGCTATATGCATAATTCATTCTATATACATTCACTGATTTAAAAAGCTGGGTCTTTAAAATGCTGCAGGTATAAACAGCCATATTATGTATACAGTAAAATGTCTTGAATAAGTGTGTATCTTATGATACAACTGAAAACTAAACACAAAAAGGATTTTTTGGATTTCTTCCAGAAATCAATTTTGCCTGATACCACTTTTAAACTTTTCATGGTTTCTCAATGACACAATGACTTCAACTGGAAGGTACAGAAATGAACAAAATGTTTACAGATAGTCTACAGTATTCTTAGAAATGACATTTTTCTTCAAATATCTGGTCAGGAAATATATATATTTCTTAGGTAGTTGATGACTTGGTATCAGAGATTGCTGATTTTATTTGTGTATTCCATTATGGATTATCATTTTAGATGCTAATGTTTCTCTATATCATACCTAAGACCACAGATTGAGGGAACATACTTTCATATTTTTCAGCATGTACATTTCAGATGATGCTTTATCAGCCATTTGATTTTTTGAGGTTAAATACTCATCTCATTTCCTGCATATTATACTTTATTATTGCAGGCGTGCAAGTTTTCATATTCTGAAGAAGGTACATATCAGACCACCAGAGGGCAAACAACTTAAACAGCAAAGGCTTTCCAAAAGAGCAAACAACCGAACTACTGCTATAATCAATAGTAAAAATAATTTATGTGGCAAAGAACCAAGATGAGGGGTCAAATGCACAGCATGTGAGATACAATCAGGCTTGACCTCTATTTCTTGTTTGCTGAGGATGATTAGGGGAAGTGGGAAATACATCACAATTGCTCCAACTGCAACTGTCTTTCCCAACTTATTCACTCTGGATGTTCACATGCAGTGGTGTTTGTAAACATCACTACTGTCCAAGGGACCCAGTCAAGACAGACATAGTGTGGCTCATGACTAAACCATCATCCATTTATTCATCCTGCATCTCATATGCACATATTATGCCAATGCCAGTGGTTATAAGGAAGAGTCAGCTTGCACTCTGCTGCAAGAAGCTGGGAGGAGTCTCTGCTAACCTCTGTAGGCTAGGATGATGCAGGTTTCTAGGCTACCTGAATTAATATCTATTTCTCTATCAATTTCTTTCAATCTCTTCAGAGCCTGTGCATCCCCAATAATTTCTTCTCACTCTTCTCAGGCTCAAAATAGGATCATAAAACCAGAGGGAAGAGGAGTGAAAAACCAGCTTTCTCTGAGCCTGCCTCTGACAACAGCACAACCCTGTCTCACTCCTCACTGTTAAACTTCTGGAAGGAGAAGCCACTACCTGCTGCCTCTGCCATTCACTCCTGACTTCACCGCGTCCTGGAAGACGCTCCTCATACCTTTCTGAACTCTAAAATGTCATCATGGGGCCTGACTGTCAAGCTCAAAACACTTTTATTAGTTCGCATCCTGCATGCCCTTTCCGTAACATACGGTACTGCTAGCTAACCACTTTCCTCTGAAACTCATCTCCTGGTCATCTATCAGTCTATGTTTCTTCTTTTATTTCTCTGGCTGTCATTTCTTCATTTCCTTGGCTCTTTCTCAAATAGTGGTATTATCCAGAGTTCTAGTTTTAGGGCCTTTTCTTTCTATAACTTGCCTTGCTCTTTGAGTAATTTATTCCATGTATAAGACTCTGAATAAAATATTCACAGTTGATAACTCTGTTCAATTCCTTCCTATGCAAGAATCACCCCCTGAAAATCTGTCCCAAAGGGATTTCAATTGCTTTTCTGAAAATTTCACCCTTTTCCCTCCTGCTTAATATCATCTCCATTGGCTTCAATCATGCAAACCAAAAACCTTTGATTATCCTGGACTCTTATCTCTTTTAATTCCTTCCGCCATCCTGTCTCTAAGACCTGCTGCTTCTGCCTCTGAAACTTCTCTCTTGAATTTGTTGCCTCCATTCTATTCCCACAGCCTCTGCTCTAATTTAGGTCTTATCACATCATGTTTCTAAGAGTTGAATTTCATTAAGAAATCTATCACTCGTGTCACATCCTGATTTAAAACCTCCCATGACTCACTACTGTCTACTGATTCATTTCTCTAGCTTTCCCCTCTGGCCTCTCATAATACAGCTAGTGCTCGACTTACGACCATGGTCGGGACCGCGGTCCGGTCGTAACACGATTTGGTCGTAAGTTGAGTAGTCTATATGTACAGTTGAAATGGTGCACGTGGAGATGGTAGTGCTGCCGGAAGCTGGTCCGCACTGTCGTACGCCCAGCTGGGCAATGTTTGCGCTGCCAGACGCGGAGCAGTCGTGGCTAGCGATTGTGGTCGTAAAGTCGAATGGTCGTAAGTTGCATAGGTGGTAAGTCGATCAATGCCTGTACTATGCTTACTCCATGTCTATAGAATATCATCTCATTTGCATCATGCTGTTACAATCAAAGTATATGAGTCCGTTTTTCTGCTAAATAGAAAATCCCTTAACAAGGAACAAGGCCATATTTGTCTTTCTATTTCTAATGTCTGACAATAAATAGATGCTCACTTAACAAATGTTCAAAGAAGTCAAATGACTATCTATTGGCTATAAATTTAACATATAATCTTTAGGAAATATTTTTAAAACACTGTAATTTTAGGTATTTACATAAAAAGCTTACAGATTATTTCAGTCACCATAGATAGGAAGTTATATTCAGATTAAACATAATTACATGTTTATACTTCAATTTTTTGTTGTTTTTGAGACAGGGTCTTTGCTCTGTCACCCAGGCTGGGGTACAGTGGTGTGATAATAGCTCACTGCAGCCTTAAAGCCCTGGGCCCAGGCAATTCTCCCACTCTTGGCCTCCCAAAGTGCTGGCATTACAGGCATGAGCCACTATGCCTAGCTGATATTCTGATTTTTTAAAAATTGCATTTTCCATCAAGAAACTCCAGTGGAGAAGTAGATTTTGAAAATACAAGCTCACTCTATATTATATCAGAAAATGTTCAGGGATATAAGTATGCCAGAATCTAACCACATCAATTAGAAATTTGAGGTATTTATTAACTATATCTTAAGTAAATAAGAGTAGATATGTGTTACTATTAGGTACAAGCCACGAAGGAAGATATAAACACAAGTTGATTACGGAGGCTACTGTCCAAGGAGTAAGGACTAGTTAACAATTCCTATTCTTTCGTTAGCTTCTCTGATTAAAAAAAAAAAAAGCAAGCATATACTGAGCTATAGAACACTGACATAATTCACACTCACTATTGTCCTTGGTTCTAATCTTTCTTGTACCTTGAAATACATGACCTCTAAGGTGTTCACTTTAAAGTACAATCAGATTTGCAGGACAAATAGGGCATGAAGAAATAACAACAGGAGGTGGAGGAAGAGATTTATCCCTCACTGCTTGAAATAAACACAAAATTATTCATGAATCTGGATTTTATATTGAAATATGTTTTTAAAAACCCTTCAATTCATGTATGCAGTAGGAAATAATGGAACAACATAATAAAGAGGACATTTTATTTATTACTGTTTATTGGACAACCCTACAATAAATTCTCTCAGGCACTTAGATGTAATTCACTGTGTCCCACAATGCTCAGAACTCATAAGCAGATAATTTAGCTTTTTGCTTGCTATCAGGGATCTTTCCTCCCAACGCACATGCAAATGTGGGTGTACTTACCTCTCCTGGCCGGATCTTTATGTAAAAGTTGTTCCGTTTATATGAAATCTTCAGAACCTTGGGCCAGGCAAATCTGTTTATTCGCAGCCGGTCACGATATATCAACAGACCACTTGCACAAACTCCTAACATAATTTCGACTCCTTCTGAGTCCTGGAAAATTACAGCAAGAAACAACAGATCAGTATCTAACTTATTTTCATTTTCTGCAGGGTATCATATTTAAGCATCCATGATAGAAACTATAAATGGCTGATTTACATATGCGAAATGATACAGCCATTTTTAACACATTACCATTAAACAATAGCCTTCGGTGAAGATGTTTATCACTACGGAGAGGTTTGTTAAGAGTAAAATCTGCTCTCCTAGGTGTCTCAGACTTACAAGGCAAATGCTGCACACCAAGAGGGCCCAGTCAATGAGGGTATGTTAATAACAGTAATAATAGTAGCCACATCTCACTTATCAATTGCCAGGCACTGCTCTGCTTTACATATATTAACTTGATTAGTCTTCACTGTGATTGAGATGGTTGCCATTATCATTCCCATTTTACCGATGAGAAAACAGGTACAGAGTCTCAGCTGAACACAGCCTAGCTCCAGAGGCAACACTCTTAATCAACACGTATGGTAGGTAACAAGATGGACCCTGTCTTTTCCTATGAGGGTTTTGGTTGTTGTTCCTTTAAAAACAGTCCCAGTCTTCTATATATACCATTATTGTCAGAGTAAAATTTAAATATGAAATTTTTTTTTTTAAAGTACGAATGAATAAAAAATGTATGAATGTATTTCCCCCAACAATTGCCCTTCCCCCCACACAAACACACTGCCCACTGGTAATCACACTTAGCAATATGGCTCACATATATAAATATATTTTAAATATGTGCATAATTAAAAAAAACAAATGTGAGATCATACTAGAACTGCAACTTGCTTTTGCTATTTGCACATTTTATGTTTAGATAATTTCCTAGGGATGTGTGATGTCAGAGCTCATCAGAGATGTTGTATCAAGCTTAGGAGATGTACTACATACAGTCTTTTCCCATGCTGTATTCCATTTAAGTCAGGGTAAAAGGAACATCTATGGTGGACGTGAATGAAGGAAAAAGACAGGACACAGGCAGGATTGTATGTGAAATCAGAGTCCACCCCTGGTCCCACTACTTGTTGAAAACAGGGGACAGGAAGGGTCATGAGCTCACCACCCACTGGAAGCTATGCCCAGATCTGCTGTTACATAACCCATAGGGATGTCTTCAGCTTTGAGGTATCCTGCAACACTGGCAGAGCAGAGGGGAAAATAGAAGAATTGGAAAAGGAGACTAACACATCTACATTGTGGAAATTCACTTCCTCAGTCCTGTCAACGCAAGGCAGAAGATGGAAATTTCCAGAATCAGAGATACATATATTAGTCCATCTCAGGGAAATGTAAGTTTGCAAATGAAGTATAATTAGTTTAAAATGAAATATTTTATCTTGGAAACATATCACTCCATGACATACTGAATTACTCTGCAGGAGTGGAAATATTTGATGGCAGGATATTACAATATAATAAAATTTGAGGAGAATTCAAAGGCTGGAAACTGCCCACCGTTTATCTAGGACTTTAATTTGAAAGAGTGATTTAAAGAGCTATAACCTGATGCTGACACACAGCTGGTATTACTGATCCTTCAGAACCAGCCAATCTGTCTGCACCATCACTCAGAGGTGACAACCTCACGCCATCGGCAGAGCACAGACATGAGAAAGGACTACCGGAATATCTGCTCTTGGACTCACTTTCTTTTTGGTAACTACAGAACACGATTTTAGGAAGTGTACTTTCAACCTACTGAGGGAATGGACATTCAAAACCTTTTCCACAATCAGATAACAATAAAACTTTTAATAAAAATGTTAAATCATCTGTTAGTTCTTTAAATTTTAAGAAAACAGTAGCTTCCTTCATGAGGAAGATGAAGAAGGCTCTGATGCCTCCTCTTCTTGTCCTCTTCCAAACATTCTTCTCTGCGTCCCCAAATCAATCTGTTATCTCTAGTACACCCTTAGCAAATGGCACTGAAATAAACTACCACTTGTCTTCCTTCTCCTGGAGACGAAAGCTGATGGAGAGCAGGAGCTCTGTTTCTTCGTAATCTTATGGCCAGCACACTGCCCACCTTGCAAGCATTAGCCATTACATGTTTGTTGAAAGAAAGATGAATGAAAAATAAAAATGGCAGAAACAACTGCAGTGTTAAATTGAATGCAAGTCTCCATTTCATTAATTGCATGGCAACAAAAACTATACTTTTCTTCTCAAATTTTCTGCCACAGTCCACAGTATTAAGATTAGTTTGAGAAATTTTTTTTTTTTTTGAGACAGCGTCTTCCTCTGTCGCCCAGGCTGGAGCATAGTGGTGATATCTTGGCTCAATGCAACCTCCACCTCTAGGGGCTCAAGCGACCCTCCTGCCTCAGCCTCCTAAGTAGCTAAAACGACAGGCATGTGCTACCACACTTGGTTTTTTTTTTTTTTTTTTTTTTTTTTTTTTTTGTAGAAATTGGCTATTGCTACATTGCACAGGCTGGTCTCGAACTCCTGGGCTTAAGCAATCCATCTGTCTCAGAGTGCTAGGATTACAGGTGTGAGCCACCTTGCTGGGTCTGAGAAATATTTGCTTTTAAAAGTTATGACAATAGTATTTCTTGAGGACATGTGCATTTCACCATCAATAAACACGTGTACTCCCTTTTGCGAGGAGCACTGGGGTATACCTCAATAGTCTCAGTCATCATGAAAATAAAGAGGCATGCGATTTTTTTAATTCAATATCACTGTTTGAACTTTGCCATCCTTCAGTATCTCCTGCTCTGTAGGATATCCTATATGGACTTATATCTACATTTCAGAATCTTACATAAAATGAATGACTCTGACAAAGTCTATCTAGAGGCACATTAAGTGACAAACAAAGACGGATGTACAAGGAAAAAAACAAAGCATTTAGAATAGGCTTTTCAAAACATGGGACCTCTGTCTAAAGTGGGTATTTATTCTTCATACAGGATTCCAGCTCAGCATTTTTAAATGGATAATAAAGCTCAGAGTCTTTCACACCATCAACAGAAGCGAGGCATCTCGCTCATAACTGGAAATTAGCTCCAATTTGTTTCAGTAAATTTTCTTCTTCAAATGATGGAGTGTGGCTGCATGCGAAAATGGAGTCTATAACTGAATTATCTGTTATACTTAATATTCAGATAAATTCCTATAATGCTGCATTTGCACTTCCTTCTCTTTCTTTTTAATTGGCATAATTTCAAATCACATTATTAAATGAAAAGGCAGCTCTCTATTTTAATTCTATAGCTATAGCAATGTTAAGTGATTTTATTTTTACTGATAGAAACACTGACACATCCTGAGGTGCACTTCCTGAAATGTACACCCTAATCTTTATTTATTTATTTTCTGGGCAGTAAATGAATCGAAGTAACTCAAAAATAGCTTCAGATTCAAATTCTCAGGCTTCCTTCATTTCCTTCTGGTTTCCTTATCTTTTAGCCCCTTAGGGGAAAACACTAAGAGAAATTTAAAAATCTTCACGTCTGCTCTTATTTTTCTTTTGAAATTCTCACTCTACCTTATACCTGGCATACAATAGAAAACATCTTTGTTATCTGAGTGCAAAATAAGTGAAAAAATGTAATAATGAACCGGCAAGTACACAGAGCCACACCTGTTGTTGTAATTACACACAAATGTCAAAGAGCTTGACATTCAACATAACAGCACATCCCTGGTGTGAGCCTCTGCCAAGACACAGAGATTCTGCTAGCGCTTGGGCCTTGGAGAGCTCATTTTGCCCGATGTGCAGAGTGATCCGAAGCAAAACCAATCAAACCCGCACAGATTCAAGGGCCACTGTTCTCTTCCCCAAATCCCTGTGGATTAATCTTGCTTTCCAAACCAAAGTGTAGCCCAACTTCCGGTATTAACAGAACCTATAGATCACAGACCTCCCTGCCGTGGGTCCACAGGGGTGCTGAGGTGTTTCCTTGAACAGAGCCAGCTGAAATTCTCTTCATTTCCAGTCCCTAAGCCTGACTGTATAAGACACTCATTTGCCTGGAAACCTGTAACTGGACGTTTTGTGAGTCTCAGACCATAAAACTGGTAATTAACTCTGTCCATCAAGGTCAAACACACATCCTTAAACAGGAACAATGTCATCCTGTTGGACCGAATCAGAAGAAATGACCTCTGACCTTTAACATTGACCTTTTTAACACGGCTAATGTATCAGAATCCAAACCTATCATCCTAACAAATTTTATATGTTGTGATAACAAAAGTTTTCATAAAAGCTTCCCTGTGTTTCCACAGGACTTTTATTCTGGACTGTTTAAAAAGACTAGTAGTCCTACATTCATTCTATCACTACTGAAAAGTACAGAGATTCCAGAATAAGCATGACACAGAGTCAAAGCTGCTCTGTGCATCTTCACAACTGTAACCCCACTACCATCTCAATCCAAATTCTTTCTTCCTAAGACTCTGTTTTCAAGATACACCTTTAACATCTCATCAGTCACCAGTCATAGAGGCAAACCTTACTGTGGGTGAACTTTAAAACAACAATCTTATTACAGAGTTCTGGTTATTTGTTGGAGTACCTAAACTTTGGAGGTAGACTTCTTAAGTTCTATATGAATTTACTGACTGCCTGGTATGTGTCCAGGTAGGGCCCATAACAGATGTGACACTTGAGTCTTGGACAATAGGCTAGGTTTGGACACATAGACAGGAAAGAGGAGGATAGTCCAGAAATAGGCATAGAGAAAGGGCAGAAACGGAGTCTGATGGGAGCAAAGGGCATGTGACAGCACAGAGTGGGGAATATGACAGTGAGGGGGAGGCAGGGTGAACTAAGAGCTTGTTATGTCACGGTAGGTTTCTAACTGTATCAAAAGGCAATCAGAGGCTTTGCCTATCACAGGCTTTCAGAAGGCTGAGCCCAGGAGTAATGCAAGTGTGAGCCACAAAGAGCAAACCCTTCGGTAAATATCAGAAAGCTCCATTTGTTGTATCATAGAATAGGGCTTAAAAGACAAACAGAGATTTGAATTCTCAAAGGTTTCATTCACATTAGCTGAAGTAAAAACCACCAGTTTACAGTAATAGCAACACTGAGTTAAATAACATTAAATAGAAAGTCTAGGGTTTAAAAAATGCATACCTTAGCATGATGTAAATCTACCCCATACATGGACAATTTTTTGGCATTTTCCAAGAAATGCATCTCTGCTTCTGCCGGCGTCATCCCTCTGATGAGAAGAAAAATATGTTACAATGATGCTTTTCCCTTCTCTGTTAGGCTGTAAAATTTCCCACTTTGCTCCATGCTATATCATAAGAAGCAGTTCCCCTCACCTATCAGAGGCGAAGATATCAGAAGATACAGGAGAAAAGAATAACAAGAAAAAGGGCTTTGCAAGAAAGCACTACAAATGAATGCCTGGATGCTCTGAGTGAAAGCTTACCCATCTCACAACTTGATCGTGCATGGAACCACACTCTGCTCAAGTCTCGCCATTATTGAACTAAAATTAGTACTGGGAAGAGGTGGGTTGTGTGCAGGGCACTCACCCATCAAGGTACAACTTAAATGAACACACTTAGGGCGCTTCTGCCTCTAACCTGTGGCTCTTGTGCAGCTCGATTACTTTGTCTTCCAGTTCTTTTGTGTGGTTTGGTGCAAAGCGGAACTCGCTAATGTAATCGCTCCCACATTCGTCTGGGTCATAGTCTCCAAGTTCTGACTGGACAGTGTAGGAGCCCAGCAAGGCCAGGGTAACGAAGGAGCAGGGCAGCCTTCCGGACACGATGTCATCTCGCAACTGCAAGCAGAGGTAGTACCTTCCAGGAACCAAAAGCACAACACAACGAAGGCCAGCATGAGGATACAGGAAAAGGAGATCGCTTGGTAAAAATTGTGGTAAGTAATTTCTCCCTGCAGAACAACCTCTCTAAGATACATTTTCTAGCATCTGTATACTTTGATATTTACTTCATACACATTTGTTCTAGACAGAAGGGAAAAATACTTGGTAACAAAAGATGGTGCTTAAAGGCATCTAGAAGCAAGTCAATGTTCATAATAAAATGGGGTTTATTAATAAAGCACAGTCTAAAAGAAACGTAAAGATATATTCTTCTAACATCTTTTAAAATAACTTTTAAAATCAAATGAACAGTTCCCAAGACAGTCCCTGAAACTGTTGGGTGGGGGAATAATGTAAAAATGATGCTTTTAAATACAGTTATGTGCCGCAAAACTATGTTGCAGTCAATGGCGGACTACATATATATATACATTATAACGGAGCTAAAAAATTCCTATTGCCTAGTGACATCACAGCTATCTTAATGTCATAACACGTTTGTGGTGGAGCTGGTGTAAACAAACCTACTCATATAAAAGACTAGCACATACAATCATGTGCAAAACTTAATACTTGATAAAAATAACAAGTAAGTACATACTAGTTTATGTATTCACTACGCTATACTTTTTATCATCACTTTAGAGTTTACTCCTCCTACTTTTGAAAAACAAAAAGTTAACTGTAAAACAGCCTCTGACAGGAGCTTCACAAGGTATCAGAAGAAGGGATTGTTATCCTAGGAGATGACAGCTTCCCGTGTGTTACTGTCCCTGAAGACCTCCCAATGGGACAGGATGTGGAGGTGGAGACAGTGATACTGATGATCTTGACCCTGTGTAGGCCTAGGCTAATAATATATTTGTTTATGTCTCAAGTTTTTAAAGAAAGAGTTTTAAAGTAAGAACAAATTATAAATTTTAAAAATAGAAAAAAATGTACAGAATAAAGATATAAAGAAAATATTTTTGTGCACCTGTACAATGTGTGTTTTAAGTGAAGTGTTACTACAAGAGGTAAATGTTAAAAAAATTAAAAAGTTTAAAAAGTAAAAAGGTTAAGTAAAAAGTAATTTTACTTAAATTACTTAATTTTACTTTAAATTTTTACTTAAATTACTTAAATTTTACTTTAAAAATTACTTTCAAAAAGTAATTTTTACTTTTTTAAGTAAAAAGTAAGCTAAGGTTAATGTATTATTCAAGAAAGACATTTTTAAAACTAAATTGAAGGTAGCCTAAGTGTACAGTGTTATCACACACTACTGTGGTCTTTATTACAAACGCTGTACACTTAGGCTATACGAGTGTACCATTAAAAACAATCTTTTATATTGTATTTTTTGTATGTTTTCTATATTTAGATATACAAATACTTACCATTCTGTAATAATTTCCTACAGTATTCACTACAGTCACATGCTATACAGGTTTGTAGCCTAGAAGCAATGGGCTTTGTCATAGAACCTAGATGAACAGTAGGCTCTACCATTTAGCTTTGTGCAAGTCCACCCTGGGATGTTCACACAACAATAAGATCATCTAAAGATCCATTTCTCAGAATGTATCTTCATTGTTAATTGACATGACTGTAATTATTAGGCCCCAATTAGCCTTACGGAAGTCTCATTATGATATTAAGATGACAGGTCTTCCTATATGAGCAAAATAGATTTCAGGTAACTCAACAGCTATGTCATTATAAACTTTGCTCTCAATTTCCTGCATTCCTAATTAGGTAGTTTCTTTATAATAACACAATTTCTTCTGTTTTCAGTTCTCATTTTTAAAATTTAGGTAGCTTCTTAAAATCGATCTAAGATATAAAGAATTACTACCTTAAAATTTGAGAATCTTGTCACCATAATAGTTTTAAACTGGAGAAATTAACATTTTCCATATAATTTTGCCGTATCATAAAAATATGTTGATTTGTCTTCTCCATTATTTTGCTTTTAAGACTTACAGATAAATTACTAACTGCCAAAGACTTCAAGGTAAGTGTTAACATTGATGAGTTTTAAGAATCCGGATCACAGCCTAGAATATAAATAGAACAAAGCACACCTGCTATGTTTTAGATAAGAAATGAACTGTTCATCTACGGAAGCAGGACTATGATAAAGTCTTAAGGTCCCCTCTAGTTACGATTTTAGGCTGGTGACATAAGTAAATTCCATGTAACTCAGACAGAAAAAATCCTTAAACATTTAACAGGCTCTACAAATATTACCAGTGAATAGAAAGAAATCATGCACTCCATTTTCAAGTCCAGGTATATATGGGCTCTATAACCACAAATTAGCCAAAATAAAACTGTTCTTCAATAGCAACTAAAAAGTATCTTTAAATAAGAAATTATATAAATTTTATCTGATTTATTGCAAATATTAAAAAAATTCTCTGAAACTAATTTTTAATCTTCTCTTAATATGTCTGGTGAAATTATTTTTAACTGTAGCAAGTGATTGAAGCTGTTTTGAGTAATTTCTCTTTTCTGTAAAGCCCTCCAAAAAGAATACAAAGCTTAGGCAGAAAATTCTACACACACTGCACAAAATTGCTTTGACTGGTTATAAACTTACTACACCAAGCTCAGCAAGAGAGTAGGGGTTCTAAGGTGAATGTAGAGAAGCCTAGGGGGTCAGAGCACACTGGGAACAATGAACTGAGTGTCTGTTGCCCCTTCCCCTCCAAATCTGTATGTTCAAATCCTACCCTTAAGGTGATGGGATCACAAGGTGGGGGTCTCTGGAAAGCTATTAGGGTGGAGCCCTCATGAATGGGATTAGTGCCCTCATAAAAAAGGCTGGAGAGAGACTTCCTCACCCTTTCACCACATGAGGACACAGTAAGAAGTCAGCATCCTGCAACCTGGAAGCACATCCTCACCAGGACCTGACCTGCGGGCACCCTGATCTCAAATTCCCAGTCTCCAGAACAGTGAGAAATAAGTTTCTATTGTTTATTAACCACCCAGTTTGTGGTATTTTGTTATAGCAGCCCAGACTAAGACATCCAGTACAGCTTTATAATGAGATCCTTTTTCACACTCAACTCAGTTACCAAACGGAAATATTTTTATGTTCGATTCCTTTCTTAATATCTTCTTTCTAGAAAACAATCATTTTCCTTTACACAAGATGTAGAAAGTAAACATTCAAATTTATGTGCATATGTGTTGGTTATATAAAAAGCATAAGCATCCAAGGACATTTTTACTCTAAGTATTAAAGCAGAAAAACTAAGAAGTGCTGTATCATACAAGGCTAACTCCCATCCAATTTGACTATCGTGGGTGGATGATAGTATCTCAATTCTGCATGTTTTCCCACCAGGGTCAGGCAGAGGGAATATCAGCCTGGCACCAAAGATTCAACTGTGAAAATATAGGATTTGGCAAATCTTCTCATCAGATGTTTAGTCTCGTTCATTTGCCTTTTGTTTGCCATTTGAGCATGGCTGATTGTAAGGCTACCAGATGTAAGCACACTCCTCTCTGGGGCATTTAAGAGAAGCACAACTCTCCCAATAACGCTTGTCTTTTGCATAGCCAACTTTCAAATACCTGGTGATATCTTCAGATAGCTGGGCAGGGTCTGGTGGATAGAATTTTACATTGAAAGAAAAGTGCCAAGCACCACCTGCGAGGATGGAAAAAAATTAGAGTGAAACCTCAAGAAAATCTTATGATTCCAATCGATAGCCAGAACTGCCTTAACTCCAAACATTAACATCCAGGCAACTTTTGATCATCAATGAAAAACTGGGAAACCTTGGTTATATGAAATATATAGATAAGTCTGAAACCTCACCTAATTTCTAATCTTCTCCCCAATGAAATCCTTTATTGGTACTTTTAAGTAGCAAGGAAACTGATCAAACTTCCCACCTCTTTCAGAATCAAAGGTCAGCACTTGGAAGAGGAAAAAAAAACATGAATGATACGAATAATTTTCAATCAGGGAAATCTGCAAGTGGCTGGATTTATTGCTGCGAATTTCTGGATAGCTCACAGACCAACACTACAAACATAATTCCCATTTTCTTTGTCCTTTCTGCTTTGTTATTGTAGGTCAAATCCAATTATAGTAAATCCAAGGGAATATTAAACATAGATTTATTTTGTGAGAAAGGTTTGTTGCAGTGAACAATGTTCTAGTAAGTGGGCTGCTCTGTGGGCTGTTGAAAATTGTTTTCTTGCTCAGGAAAATTTTTGATGAAATAGGTACTTGAATGTATTTATTGTACATTGCCAAATTTTGCACCTGCACCTCCTTCGCCTGAGTCTTAGCCGGATCCTCTTTCTGCTTTGCCATCTTTATCCTGTGGCCTTTACTCAAGGCCTCTCCAGCACTGAAAAGGGTCAACCAGGAGTCAGCTCACCAGTATCTACTCTCTGTATTGTAAACACGTATCTTTGAAACATTATGAAGTCTTAACTAAGCTCCACATCTTATTAATACTATTTCTAATTATATATGGTTTATCAATATAAATGTGGAAAACACCCTTTTCTTTTTTTCTACATTTACTATGTGATCATTACTTTAACTTGTATTCACTCTGTTCTGGCTTTTAAATGCAGCAATTGACCAAAGTCTGGGTATTCCTCCTCTTCGGTGCTGTTTATATTTGTTCCCTCTACCCAAGAAGGACACTAAAAGTACCAGAGCCTAGATACTGCTTGTATTTTGAATGGTTTACTGAAAAGTTCCTCCCAGTCCTCCACCTTCCACTCTGGAGGTCTTTCATTCATGCCTCACCCAGTGGCCGCTGACTTGCGTTTACTCTAGGATTCTGATTCTGTGACTTCACAGTCTGCCCCTTTTGCTTCCAACAGTCTTCTAAGACTTCCAAATCTCCCTGTCTCTCCATTGAATGACTTCTGGACACTCCATTGTTCCATGAGCCTTTCCCAAACATTCAGAAGAAGGCACGGTACTGTATTTCCTAGCTCCTTTCTCTGCACTGTTCACCTGCATCAGAGGCAATACTTTGCTTCATCACTTTCCAACACTTTGTCACAAATGGCATAAATCCATGTATTAGTTATAGTTTATTCTTGACACTATCGTTGACATCACATTTAAGATTCCAGATGGCAGGGACTCTACCTGAGGTGCTCTATAAAGGATTCAGTACAGGACCAGGCATTACTGGGGGCTTATTATCATTTTTAAACCACTCAAAATATATCTGTCAGTCAAATATATTTTAGTGACTGTTCTTCCCACTGTTCTCAAAAAACTCCTTTTGTTTTTCCAAAAACAGTCTCAATTGGTTTTATTTTCTTATTTATTCCTAGTCATTTCCTATTAAAATAGATCCCCTTAATGCTTGCCAATGGTAAGGTTCATAATGAGTGCTGGCTTTCCCCCAAGAAAGTGAAATTAAAACTAATGGATTAGTTATGGGAAATGGATTTATTACTCTTTTATAATTTTTATTCACATCAAAGCAGGCCTTGAATCCAATGAATAGTTTATCAATGTAATTAAACAATCTTATAATAAATGTCCAAGTTAGACACTAATAAGTAATAAAAATATAGGAAAGACATTTAATGCAAAAATCCTCATTCTAGGAAGGCAAGTTTCAAACTACAGTGAGCGAAGAAATACCTGAGGTACCTGTTTAAAATGCCAATTCCCAGGCTCCACCCCAGGGATTTTTATTCCAGAGATTTTGAATACGGCCTGCAAAATTATGGCTTAAATAAGTTCCCTTATGGTTCTAATAATAAAAATGGGCTTTGGAAGCACGCTTTAAAAAATCACTACCACTAAGGAATCCACTTCCCTAAAATACATCTTTCAGGACAGTATTTTGAAACAATGAGAAAGTGTACAGAAACTATAATACAATCTACATCCCAATCAAGAAAAAAAGAGTCCAGTTAAATGAGGCACAAAACTGGAAATTAATGAGAGAGGCAGATTAAAGCTCAAATACATGTCCTCATAAAGAATGTGACAAAAACAAATCCACTGAGAAGGAAGTGCTTATGCAATAAATAAGCTTGCAACTCTATATTTGCTCAAATGAGGGCCCTAGTTAAAAAGAGGAAATGGAACAGCTTGAAGACATTAACATGAATACTTCTATAATGCTGATGTGGAATTTTAAGTTACAAATTTACGATAAACAGAAAACAGTAGCACTGATGATAGTTCATTCTTATGAAAAATTTCTAATGTTAGTCTTTTATGACAGCCAAATCTTAAAATTTCTAATATACTGCATTTATACCATAAAAGTATGATATATGCCCTATATCACAAAAGAACTATATCATGAATATACTTAAAATCACAAAATACAGTGTATTTAGAAATTTAAAGATCCAGCATGCATGAAAGATTCCTGGAATAAGAATTTTTTCCATAAAAACTCTTCAGTTTCAAAATTTTCTGTTTTTTTTTTTAGAAGCAGGGTCTCACTCTGACACCCACATTAGAGTACAGTGGCATAATCATAGCTCACTGCAGCCTTAAACTCCTAGGCTCAAGTATCCAGCCCTCTTAGTCTCCCCAGTAGTGACTAACTACAGGCATGTGTCTCTGAGCTCAGCTACTTAAAACAATTTTTTTAAAAAAATAGAGACAGGGTGTCCCTATGTTACCCAGGCTGGTCTTGAACTTCTGGCCCCAAGTGATCCTCCTGTCTTAGCCTCCCAAAGAGCTGGAATTACAGGCATGAAGTTTTAGAATTTTCTATTAATCATAAAGTTGGACTTAAAATATTTGTTAGCTTGGTTTCCATTTTCTTAAAGATCTAATTCTAAAGGAACACTGTGAGCCCACAGCAGAAAAAGCATGGAAACATCCTTTTATCATTTATATTTTGGAAGAGGAGGTAATGGTACAGTAATTACATTAGATGTGATAATACTTCTCTGCCTTGGTTCAATGTAAATTTTGTGGCAAGAGGGTATTTTAGTGGATGGGAAACAACAAAGAATACAGATAAAAATACCAAATCCCATTTTTAAAGAAATTCCAATTTTCCTTGTCTCCTTTATCTGCAAGACTGTCAGTTTTCTTTATGGCAAAGTCATATGCACTGCCTAATTTGCATGATGAAAAAAATCCTTTAAATCTCTTGTTTGGATTGCCTTGTCCCTTTAGCTTTCTTCTCTTTGAAAGGAAGGTAGAACACAGTGTAAATGGGAAGTTCAAGAAAAAAACGAATTCTATTAATAAGAAAAAAGAAAATTAGACAGTTTATACAGCCTTTCTTGTCATGGTATTATGACTTATCCTTGAACATTTTATATATTTTCAAAGTGCTCTGCAATGATTAATCAGCTCAGTATTCCATTAATTAGATGAATAAGAGAACTTTATGCACACAAAATGTTATGATATATATTCAGCATGTCTGCTTTAATAACTAATAATTCTTAGAAAAATATTTATCTTACATTTTTTCTTGGGAGTCCTCAGAACAAAAAATAAGTAATGTTTTCACCTATTTATCATAACTACAGCTATCCCTGTTTTCTATCTCAATTAACTATTTCTATTAACCTAATTTGTAATCAAGTTTCTGATTAGTGGATATATATAATCTTCCACAAACATATGGTAAAGATGTCTAAATTGTACAAATAATCAGCTGACTCTCTTATATCTAGATGTATGGTTATACTTTTGTCTTTCTGGAATATTATCATACTGAACCATTTCCAAACTGCTCACTACTAATTATGTTTTATTAGTACTTGGAGTATTATTCTGATAGCTCAGGACTTTCATAGGCACTAAGAAGTATTTGCTTGCTCTTTTAATAGTAAACTACTGAAAACTTACTTATTGAAGTGGGAATGATGTTCTTATTAATAAACTGCTCTTAAATGTATCCTTTAGCTAAAATTAGTTGTTCGGAAAAATTTAGATTTTATTGACAAAGATATGAATAAAACATAGTTATTTTAAATTACAAAGAGCATCCATGTTTGTGGCAAAAATAAGAACTACGGCAAGGGTAAAAAATTTTAAAAGCTCCTCTTTCTCAACCCCTACTTTCACGGAATGATACTTCTGGAATAATGACTATTAAAATATTCCTGCCTTCCAAAAGTTTTCCATGCATCTATACAAACATAATTTTTTAAAAAAACAAATGTGATTATGCTATAGATAATATTCCACAAACTGATTTTCACCAAGGAGCACTAAGACGTATTTATATGGCTATTCTACGATTGACGTAATAATTTCTTTATACATGGATAATCAAGTTGCTTCTAGTTTTCTGCAACTGTAAATAGTATTAATTATAATGAACCTTCATTTTCTATACAAATGCACATTTTCCTCCTTAATACATATGCTGAATAAATTTCCACAAGTGAAATTAAGGGTCAAAGAGTAAGTACAGCTTAAATTTTAGTAAATACTGACAAATTGCCCTCTGAAAGGATTGAACCAACTTATTCTACCAATTGGGTAAATAAGTGCTATAGTTTATTATTAAACCTTAATTCTTTGTTAACCTGAATAGCTGAAAAATGATATATCATTTTAATTTGCATTAAATCATTAGTAAAATTTAGCAACTTGTTTAATATTAATTAGCTACGTGTATTTCAAATTTGTGAGTTGCTCCTGCAATTGCTTGGTCCATTAAATTATGTAATTTTAAAATTGCCTTTAGGGGACTAAGAAACATTGTTACCAGACAGTAAACTTCAGTTTGACTTGTTTGATTCAAGTCAAAGCTATGAAATGATTATGACTTTTATGTAGCCTTTCATACTTTTGTGACTGTTGGAACATTAATAATTCAGTTTGGAACTTTTAAATGGTTAATTGCCAATTCGAACATCAGTTGATTACATCATATACTTGACATCTATTCACAGGCAGAGGAACAGGTCAAGTATCATGTTCCTTTTAAATCCCAAGTTGTGACAATTATAAAATAAGTACTATCTGAACTGCTAGGCCAAGTTTGAGACAAGAAAAGTTTGTAGTCACACTAGCCATTTAGGTATGGGCTACCAATTCAGACAACTCGCTCTCTGAAAACCTTCACATTTCCACAAAAAATAATCCAAAAGAACTTACTTCGAACCTGTTTTTTAATTTCCTTAGCAGGGTCCAACCAATTCTGAAAAGGAAATGACATTTTGAATTTGAATCAGAGGAGAATAAAAATGACTTAATGTTGAATAGGTACAGACTCGCCCTAAATGCAGTGAGGAGTCAGTGGTCCTGGGACAACTTCCCTCGCTGTGGTCCTTCCCCCATATATGGTGCCCCTCTGCCAAGCCCTCCAAGGGCCCAGGCACTGGTCTAATGAGAAAATGCACATGTGTGCAGTTTGGACCTGACAAAAGCCTTTTTCTTATATAACCATTGCCTTCAGAGATTCAAGGTAGCACAGAAACAGAGAAGAAAAGGCAGAAGATTCTATATGTAAACAAGTTACTAGGATAAATTAAAAATATATACGTAACTGGGTACACTGATGTCCTAGCCATTTAGTTTCACATTAGAGACCTCTGCAATGAAAGATTCTTAGGCATCTACCTAGGAAATTTCCCTAACAAATGAACACTTGCTTGTGATTTGTGATTTTCCTCACTGGTAAAATCAGATGTTTAAAATAAAGTTACACATTGTCTGGCGAATTCAGGAGGTATTAAGTATGACTTATGGCACAACACCAAAATGGGTAATCTATGAGCAGAATTTCTGACTCAGCTTCTCATATCAGTGCAATGGAAATGATTTCCTTTTCTGTATTTCTCAGGTAGTTGTGGGGATTAAGGAGATATAGCCCTGAACAGAGTCTACAGAGGTATTGCATAAAACATCTACTAAACACATCACACAAGTGTCAGGTCAGTGTACAATCCACCTCATATTCTGATTCAGAAACAATATGAAAGCATAAAAAGATGAATGAAAAATAGGGCAGCACCAATAATAAACTTCCCTGACAGTTTATGGGTTACAACCATAACAGCTTCATAGAATTTTGGGATATGAACATGATTTTTACATAAATATCAATTGATTTTCATTGGTTTAAATAATCTACTGAAATACATTACCCCATTGAAAAGGTACTACATAAAATGATTTCTAGAAACCACAAATAACTCAAGCATGAAAAACAAGAGTTCATTTACTGTTAACAGAATATTCAAGATTAAAGGAAGCTGCCAGTGATCTCCTTTATCGAGAAATAGATGATTAACAGCATTTACAGACTCAAAGTAGAAAATGTGGGAGTATGAAGGGAGGTGAAGAAGGTGATCCACCCATTCAGTCTCAGTTCATTTGCCAGCAGAAATGAGCAGTTCAAGTCATCTTATTTTGCACTGCTTTTGATCACTCACCTTCTGGTTTTCAGCATCTCGATACGTAAGCCCAAAGTAGTCTTTCTCTAGCAAGTTCAAGTGTTCACATACTTTATCAAACAGCACTTGTCCTCTGGAGCGTTTCTACAGGAAACAGAACAGAAAAGCAAGTCAACACACAAAGAAAGTTCTCCCAATTGCCATAGATAAAACCATGGAATATTTAAAACATTGCATGGTGTAACTTCAGTGAGTGATCAATGAGCGTGAGCACATCGTCATCTCCTGTTTAAGTGGAAAAAGGGCCTAAAAAAAAGGGGGGGGGGTTCAACCTACAAAAGCCCACCCACCCCTACAAATAAACAAAAACAAAGTATCAAGATGTAGGTACTTAGTATGTACAGGTGACCAGTGGGTGATTTCTAAATAGAAGCAATTGGGGAAAATAATGTGATGCTTGGAAGCCTAGATATGTGAAATAGAAAAATCTTGACTGTAAAAGAACATACATCAAACCAACAAAAGCCATACTGCAGAGCGCCCTAACTCAATTCTCTATACCAGGGGTCCTCAACCCCCTGGCTGTGGACGGGTACTGGTCCATGGTCTGTAAGGAACAGGGATGCACAGCAGGAGGTGAGTGGCAGGCTAGCAAGCATTACGTCCTGAGCTCCGCCTCATGTCACATCAGTGGCAGAGTTCGATTCTCACAGGAACAAGAACCCTATTGTGAACTGTGCATGCGAGGGATCTAGGTTGCATGCTCCCTATGAGAATCTAATGCCTCATGATCTGAGGTGGATCAGTGTCATCCCAAAACCATTCTCCATCCCAGTCCATGGGAAAAAATTGTCTTCCATGAAACTGGTCCCTGGTGCCAAAAAGGTTGGGGACCGTAGCTCTATGTGATAAAATTGTGACTCTGAGAAGAATTAACTCTGCTCCTTTGTCTTAGGCAGACTCTCACTTAGACTTTCTATCCCAAATCCTTACATAGAAATTCTAAGGACCACTTTCTAAAAAAACATTAAACAAATTTAATTATTTTTGTTTTTTCTTTTGTCACAAATTTCAGTTTTGAACAGTTTTTCTCTTAAATTTTTTGAGAGCAAATCCTTATTAAACATAACAAAACATTAAGAATACTTATATGTAAATACAAAATAAAGATATATGAGCTATATTTCTGACCATCAAGGAGGCATCTGGAGAAAAAAAAAGGTAGTCATTTGGAAAATAATTCATCAGCTTAATTTATTGTGATGTATCATTTTTTAATCTAATCCTTCAAAGGCCTTTAAACATAGTCATGAGGTCTGTGACGAATTAACTGGCAACAAATAAATGAAACCAGTTTTTTGTTTGTATGCTACTAACATTTTCCATCTAATACATTAGGCATATTTGTCTTTAAGATTTAATATAACAGCAATGAGAAATATGAAATTGATCAACTATGTTTATGCCAAAATAATAAGCATTCAAAAGACCTGTAAGTGGTGTGTTGTGTTACTGTGCAGCTGTAATTATGCTGAAAGCAATTACTCAGTCCCCTCAAGCATGACTATTTAGGAGAAAAGGCAAATTTATGATAGAAAAGTAAGGCCTAAATTGTAGCTGGCTAAATAATCGATGATGTATTTGGAAAAAACAGTTCCATAAAGTGTTATGAAAATAAATTACTTGTTAGAAAAACTACATAATAACATTGCTCATTGGCTATAAATAAATATTACAACAATGAAGTACCTGCTTGCTGGCTTAAATCGTTTATTTATAAATAACAGCATATTATCATTGAATAATGCTTTATAAATTATGAAGTTTTCATAAAAATTGGTTCTTCTGATGCTTCTAACTGGTATAATCTCCAGTTCACAGATAAGAAGGGAGGTTCAAAGCAGTTGGATGAGAGAGGCAGTCTTACATGATGACCTGGGAAATGGCTTTAGAATTGGGTAAACCTGGGCTTGAATCTTCAGGATGTCCCTTGCAGCTATGTAAAATGACACTACTTACTTCTTTGGAATAGCTGACATTAAAATAAAATCATGTATTCCAACGTGGTCCAGTGGTGGCATATATTAAGCATTCCATAGATGTCTGCTATTATTATGGCCTGGTGGCTGATAAACGGTAGAATAACTAACGTAGAACAGATTATTATGCACGTTTCTACAGGGGCACATATCCAGCTCCTGGTAGCACCAAGAAGTAGCTTTATAATTAACATGTCCCACTTTTTAGATATGAAATGCCTGCTGCTTACCATCTAATTGCTTTAGGTAGACCACTTTCTTCTTTTTTTACTTACATACACACAGCATAGAAAAATACACATCAGTGTCTGGCAAATACTTTCTCAATGAGTAAACAAAAAAACAAAACAAATGCAAATACAAAAACTTTTCTGTACAAGGCTTCA